TCGCTGGCACGGCGCGCTTGCACGGCGCGGACTCATCGTTTTGCAGCACAGTGCCAGTGGACCCGACCATGCTGAATGGCATGCAACAGCTGCGATGGTCTGCAAGCAGTGATCGCTTCAAGGTTTTGCAGGACAATCTCGGGACGGACAAAAAAGTTTTAGTTAGGCTCGCCATGACATTACATACTTGGTCACGTATTGTGATGTGGTGCATATCATCGAGTCCTAATTAATACCCTTAGGCCTTAGCTTCAGACTTTGATACTGCGTATGTAATTATGGCCTGCTCCTATAATTGTTTGAGGGGATAGGCTGGTTCCCCCGCCCTGGCTGGGGGCCAGGTCGGTTCTTTGCCTGACTCAACGCCGTCGTGACAATTGAATTTGAAAATGAAGTGCATCAGCATGAGTCAACCAGAACTGTCTGAGACTTGCTGATGCACGCATCTTTGCTTGAGACATTCAGTTTCACCATAGTGCATCCTGTCTCACCATAGTGTATCGGCGTGGGTCAAGCAGAACGGTCTGAGACTCCATAGAAGAGCAATAAAGCTGCCGATTCCTTTTGCGCATATAGTTGTGCCGGGGCATCGCTGAATGTGATCTGTCACAGTCATTAGTCATAGTCCTTGAATGCTTTGCGGGTCCGCATTGTTGGTCTGTGCAGCTAGGTTTGCATCGAGTCAGGGCCCCGGGATGGGATGGATTACCTGGATAAGCTGCTACCACAAAGAAACAAATCGATATATTTTATATTGAGATAGAGCTAGAGATATGATATAGAGATGGATGTATGAGTGTTAATATATAGAGATGGATGTATGAGTGTTAAGATAAGAGTTTCAATTCCAGTCACAGTCAGGAGTCAGGACCCTAAACCCATAAAGAACCAACTTATATCATATTGTAATACTGTGCGTGTCCCAGCCCAGAAACGGTCGCCGCCTGCCAGGTCCGCCCGTTTATACTTTTTTTCAGGAGATGGCAAACCACCTTGGTTGGGGGGCCCCAAAGCACATAGCCCGCATGACATGTTTATACATGCTGGTTTCGAGGCACATGGAAATAGGACTTCGCCACACCACCCCGTCGGATTGCTGAGGTCGCCACGACAACGATGACTTCGCTGTGACTACCTGGGCCGGCCTCTGTGTAAAAGCGTCTGTGTGTACAAGTGATTGTGTGTAAAAGCGCTTGTGTGTAAAGCCGTCTGCGTGTAAAAGCGCCTGTGTGTCAAAGTGTTTCTGCGTAAAAGTGTTTGTGTGTAAAAGCTTCTGTGTGCACAAGCGTCTGCGTGTAAAAGCGTCTGTGTGTAAAAGTGTTTGTGTGTAAAAGTGTTTGTGTGTAAAAGTGTTTGTGTGTAAAAGTGCCTGTGTGTAAAAGCGTCTATGTGTAAAAGCTTCTGTGTGTCAAAGCGTTTGTGTGTAAAAGCAGCTCCTGTGTGTAAAAAGGTCTGTGTGTAAAAGCGTCTGTATGTAAAAGCTTCTGTGGGTAAAAGCTTTGTGTGTAAAAGCGTCTGTGTGTAAAAGTGTTTGCGATGCAAACTATTGTCTTGCACTTCTCACTATTTTGTCTTGCTACTCCTCTTCTCGAATGCCTATAACACATCTTTCATATATTGTTTGTAAAATTGTGTCTCCATACTAACAAGAGAAGACCCTGCTCCTCTACGCTCTCGGGCCATCCGTCGTCTAGTTAGATATTATATTCAATATTTTATTGTAGATTATTTTGAATATTATCGAAGGAAGTTTAGAAGTCAAACTTCCGACAATATGGACAGATGAAAAGCAGAGATGGGCAGAGGCAGAGAGAAGAGAAGAGTAGAAGAGAGCAGATCAGAGAAAGAGTCAGAAGAAGGAAGATGCAGATGCGCGAAAAGGTAGGCATGATTTGTGGCTCCGGGTAGGCTCGCTGAAGCGGCGGGTGCAAAATACGTCAGTTTTGGACCACTTTTGGAAGTTGAGCTGTTGAAAAAGTGCACGCCGTTGTGGCGCGAAGCACATTTCGAAGACAAAATGTACAAAACACACCAGCTCCGGACCACTTTTGGAAGTTGAGATGTCGAAAAAGGGCACGCCGTTGTGGCGCGAAGCACATTTTGAAGTCAAAATGTACAAAACACACCAGGTTCGGACCACTTTTGGAAGTTGAGATGTTGAAAAAGTGCAGGCCGTTGTGGCGCGAAGCACATTTCCAAGTCAAAATGTACAAAACACACCAGCTCCGGACCACTTTTGGAAGTTGAGATGTCGAAAAAGTGCACGCCATTGTGGCGCAAAGCACATTTTGAAGTCAAAAGTGCAAAAAACTGACGGGTATGGAGCACTTGTGGACGTTCAGATGTGCTTTCGCGTGGCAGGCGCAAGGGATTGTGCGCCTTGTCAAAATGAGCAAAACTTGAGGGTTTTGTAGCATTTCCAAAAGCAATGGCAGGTGTAGTTGTAGTTGTGTTTGTAGTTGTAGTGTGCGGCAGTGTCATTAGTGTAGTGTAGTTGTAATTGTACTTCTAGTTGTGGTTGTGGTAGTAGTTGTTGTTCTCGTGGTTTTTGTAGTGTAGTGTGGTGTGGTGTAGTGTAACTACAATTCATGCAATTGGGGCCCTTGGATTTCGACCCTGATCTGGGATATGTTCGCTATTTTTGGGGGATAGATTCAGCCAATAACCACTCACATATCTCAAAACCACATCCTCTGAACAACACGGACACGTTAGGTGGACGCTTTCCATGGCCAATCATCCAACCCTTACTAAATGCAACTGGTTTTTGGAATGCACCCCCAATCTTCCTGCCCACCCACGAGCATCATCTATGATGCGATGCGCTCTTCTGGAAGGAGTTGGGACCCCTTTTTTCTCCACCGTTTTGTTGTCAATGTGGTCTTTGATTTGAGCCCTATTGGGGTCTGGAAATAAGGATGCTGGGGCGTCCGGGGCGGTAGTCTTCTGGCAGTTTCCCGGGAACCCCCAGAGGGGGGGACAACTTTTCCACTAACGTGTCCATTCTGGATTTTCAACTAACATGTCTCAAGTATAGGGCATTTATCATAGCCTATGTTCACAGCAGCTAACGTATCCAAAAAAACTGTTTCCCACAAAAAAAGTGGATACGTTTGTTCCCTAGAGAGTAGATGTGATTAGCGTAGTGTAGTGCAATTTGTGTAGTGTAATGTAGCGTAGTATTTTTGAAGTTGCAGCATCAGTGTAGTGTAGTTGTAGTTGATGTAGTTGTAATTGTCTATCTATCTATCTATCTATCCATCCATCCATCTATCTAGCTATCTATCTGTCTATCTGCAAGTTTGAAATCGCAGTTATTTTGCGAGACCTCCTCAATTTTTGAACTTGACAACGTCAAAAACGAAACAAGTCTGCGAGACTTTCTCAATTTTGAACTTGACAACATCAAAAACGAAACAATTCTGCGAGACTTCCTCAATTTTTCAAAGTTGACAACATCACCAACAAAGCACTTCTGCGAGACTTCCTTCAAAAATGGAAAGTGGAGTGCAGAGCCGACGGCCTCGTACCAATTCCTTTTGCGATTTTTCCATTCCACCTGTCTAAAGTATTGCCCCCTGCCACGAAAAAGTGATGCCAGAGGTCATACGAAGTGCTGCACCTGTCACGCAAAATCATCTCAGCAAACCTGAAGATCTGATGCTCCAAAATGCAACCCTTCTCAGGAAATCAGCGCCCTGACCTCCTAACAGCTCTGATGAACATGTCTCTTGTACTGCGCCTGCCACACAAAATGCATCTTTGCAGATCCTCTTCAAATGCCCCACGCCTGCCATCGTTTTTGGACATGCCACAAAAAACCGCACGTTCTGCTCACTTTTGACACGGTGCACAATCCCTTGCGCCTGCCACGCGAAACGACATCTCAACTTCCAAAAGTGGTCCGAACCTAGTGTGTTTTGTGCATTTTGACTTCGAAATGTGCTTCGCGCCACAACGGCGTGCACTTTTCGACATCTCAACTTCCAAAAGTTGTCCGAACCTGGTGGGTTTTGTACATTTTGACTTCGAAATATGCTTCGAACCACAACAGTGTGCACTTTTTCGACAGCGCAACTTCCAAGAGTGACCCGAACGTGGTGTGCTTTGTACATCTTGACTTGGAAATGTGCTTCGCGCCACAACGGCGTGCACTTTTTCGACAGTGCAAGTTCTAAAAGTTCTCCGAGCTGAGGTGCTTTGTGCATTTTGACTTCGAAATGTGCTTCGCGCCACAACGGCGTGCACTTTTCGACATCTCAACTTCCAAAAGTTGTCCGAACCTGGTGGGTTTTGTACATTTTGACTTCGAAACATGCTTCGAACCACAACAGCGTGCACTTTTTCGACAGCGCAACTTCCAAGAGTGACCCGAACGTGGTGTGTTTTGTACATCTTGACTTGGAAATGGGCTTCGCGCCACAACGGCGTGCACTTTTTCGACAGTGCAAGTTCTAAAAGTTCTCCGAGCTGAGGTGCTTTGTGCATTTTGACTTGGAAATGTGCTTCGCACCACAACGGCGTGCGACTTTTTCATCTCTTATCTGGCCAGCTGGCTCCGCACCCGCCGCTTTAGCGAGCCCACCTTTCGACCCTCCAGAGCCACAGATCACTGGAAAAACACAGTGTTTCGCGACTTTCCTACCTTTTCGCGCACCTGGATCTTCTTTCTTCTGAGACTTTCTCTTTCTTCTTCTCTTCTCTTCTCTGACTCTTCCCGTGCTTTTCATCTGTCCATATTGTCGCGGAAGTTTGACTTCTAAACTTCCTTCGATTATACTAAATATTATATTGAATATTATATGAAATTTAATTTTTATATTAAATATTTTACTTGTTTTTTTTAACAAATTGTAAGACTATTTTATATATATATAAATACTTTTTTAGATATGTAAGTACGTAGACAATGAATTTGCAGTGCATAGTGTGAAATCGCGAGATCTTGCCAATCAACCAATCAATGCTTGCTGCCATAACATGGCTCAGCGGTCGGCACGGCACGGGGGATCGGACGTTTTCGCATTTGGCCAGGCCCTTAGATCATGAGACATGGTCGTCACCATGGTGACCCATATGGTGTTGAAATACGACTCCTGGCAGCTACAAGCATCCGCATGTTGATATCTTGACAGCTATCCCTGGGGTTGGGTCCGAAGCCATTCTTAGATGACTTTAGACTTTGCATTCTTTCCATTAAATCATTAAGCACTTACTGGTTACCTTGCGGCAATCAAAAATGGCAATTGAAAAATCCTCTATAAATGGTGTTTTAATGGGAAAAACATCTATACATGGTGCTTTTTCCAGTGCCATGTTTGGGTACCAGGGGGTGCTAAGTAATTATTTCCAACAATTCTCTGATCATATCGCCATGATACAGCCCTGCACGTGAAACCCCTCCGAGGCAATGACTTGTGCCAAGGCCAGATTTGCTTTGCTGAAGCTGATTTGGGTTCGCCCAAAAAGTGTACCACAAACAGCTCATGGTTGAGAATTTGTTTTCCTGTTTCGTAATGTAATGGCAAGCGCGCTGACCTTTTGAAGGTGTTTTGTGTCAAGACAAAAAGGAGTAATGTGCCCCTTGATCATTCAAGGGTTATGGGCCCAAAATCGCTGGGCACCATGGAATCCCATCCTCGAAGGGCTGTCTCTGATCCTCCGAATCCTTTCTGGAGCAAAAGAGTAAGGGAGGATCATGAGATAGCACAACGACGCCCCCAGGATCTACAAGGTTTGCAAACACCTGTGCCAATAGATGATGATCTAGAAGGGTCCCCAAAGCCTCACCAGCCACGCGGTCTAGTGAGTGGCGATCCTGATCTTGGTGCGAGTTTTCCAACAGAAGCAGTTGATGGCCGATGTCCCCTTGCTGAGAAGCCTCAGCCTATGGAGTCAGGGTACATGGAGAATAAAGAGAACCTGGAGCTTTTAGCTGATGTGGCAACTGTGAAGCATCATGAAGGGGGTTGGGGAAGAAGGCCGAAGATGTTGAGAAAAAGGATGGTGAGTTAGAGACGGCGTTGGAGGGTCAGATGCTACATCACTTTCAACAAGAAGTTGCCAGACTTCAGAATCAAAACGAGCTGTTGATGCAAGAATTTCAGAAGATGAAGGATGAGAGAGCTGGCAGTTCCTTCTTAATGGCAAAGTAACATCAGGGCACCAACATCACCTCCATGCATGTCACCTTCTTCCCATGGTTCTCAAGTTTGGATGTCACCAGACCCCTTTTGATGCACCGAACGGAACCAGAATTCCAAATGGTCCGCTACCTGATCCGCTTTTGCCTTCCTGGCTACCAAGGCTGTCAGAGTACCAGCTAGAGCCGACGCGGAAGATTCAAGGAGTCATGGGTGATCCAGCGTATCAGGTTGGTGGGGTATGCGGACCAAAAAAGGCCAGGAATTTTTGGTTGGAACAAGAAGTAGCATTGCGTTGGAGTTGGAAGCGGCCAAATACAACTCTCTTCAAGGTTTCTAGTCAAAACCATTTGAAGCAGAAGCGGAAAGGGCTAGAGATAATGGAAATGCAGTAGCAGACATGAGACGTAATGCTGGCATGGGTGTCACTGGGACAGCGGGCTCTCAGCATGTGCTTGGTGAGCATCACCTTCACGATCGGGCTAGCATTTCATGTTTGAATGGTGAACATCATCTTCATGTCATGTCTGCATGGCGCTACTACCTCTACGAGGGGTGTTCAAGGTCGGGCTGGCATGTTGCATGTGCTTGGGGGTCATCATCTTCCAGCTCGGGCTTTAGAGCATGCGCTTGGGGATCATCGTCTTCCAACTTGGCCTTCTGAGCAATTGCTTGGCGAACTGCGTCTTCAAGTTTGGGATAAACCTGCGTCTGAGCACGGTGTAGGTCCAATGATGATCGGGCATGGTGCGACAAAGTCAAAGTATGATCTGCCTTCACAGCATCAGCTTCGCCGCCAGGACATTGAGGACGGAGGGAGGCCTCAAAGCCATTCCAATACAGCTTCCAGCACTAACAGCTCCGGAGCGAAGAGATGCGAGTCTTGAAGCTGGCGATTGGATCATTCAATTGGAGCCGTTGGTGGAGGATCTTTCGAAGCATTCAGCGAGTTGGTGCAGGAGAGTGATGGAAGCAACCACTGCAAAGTATGCTCTTTGGCTTCATGCTGATTCTCTTTTTAAGTTGAAAATTGTAGCTCCTGAAAGTGCTGCACTTTCAGCAGGTTTTGAGCGATTAGACCAACGAGTAAAAAGTCTTCTACTTCAAGCTGCTCGTGAGCTCACGCACAGCAGCAGTCCTTTTTCGAGTGCTCCGTACTTTTCGTCCAGGGGGCTTAGTGGAGAAGTCTTGGCTCCTTGAGGACTTGATGACCGTACCAGTGGCAAAATCTTCCCAAGAAGTTGTGACAGCGCTGAGACTGTGGAAAAGAAGGGCTTCTGAACTGTGTGCACAACTGCCAGACCCAGTTCTGACGTTTTGCACCTTGGATGGCATCGCTAAACCTGTGGTGGATGGGTCGCATCAAGCTAGCTTCAGGATCGCAACTTTCAGGATGAACCACAACTTGGATGTGAGACCCTCTTTGGAGAATCTTTGGCTGTTCTATGACTTGTTGCTGGCAGAGGCGGGGGTTGCTGTCCACTCCACAACGTGCACCACTGGTGCCAGCGATCCAAAGACTCCAGCAAAGCCTGCGATTCAAACTATGCAGCCAGGACCGCCAGGAGGGAAGTCCACACCATCTTCCACTACAAGCTCATGGCCGTGCAAGTTTTGGTTGACCGAAGGTGGATGCTGTCAAGGTCAAAAATGCCGTTGGCTTCACCCACGGGAAGGAGCTTCTGACCGAGCTGCACGTTGTGCCACTTGCAGTTCCACTCAACACCAACAAGCTGATTGCCCATACAAGTCACAGGTGAAGTCACCTGTGGGGGGGAGAAGGTGATGATGTGGGAGTTGGCGGGGGACAAGTGAATGAAAATTGGAAGAGTAAAGGAAAGGGCAAAGGTAAAAACAATCGAAATGATGGCCAAAAAGACTCGAGAAAGAGAGCCCACTGCAGCTCGATGGCAAAAATAATGATGGAAACAAGCGTGCTGTCAATGTCGCTGAGGAGAACAAAAAAGGGAGGTGGAACCAAAAGCTCAGCGGCAACGAATGGAGGCTCCAACGGAGGTAACAGGCCGGAGACTGGAGGGGGTACAGCTGAGCTTTTACGAAAGCGATCAGCTTGCAGGAGGTGAGAGATTTTTCTCAAAGTCCCGATGGAAAGATGTTGCTAGATAGTGGAGCAACGCATTCATTCAGGAGGGCAAGAACATGGCAGGCATGGGATGGAGCCACAGAGGCGGTGGTAGCACTTGCACATCCAAGCTGCGTCTCAAGCCTGGAACCTTAACACTGCTGGCAATGGCATTTTGACAATGGGCGCTCTCACAAAGATGGGCTATGAAATGTTGTGGGGCGGAGGAGATTGTAGAATATGTAGGCCGCATGGAGCGAAGATCAATGTGGAGGTGATGGGTAGCTGTCCGATGATAGCGTGTGAGCTGAGGTGATCAATCAAGGCCTGATGGCCATTTACGTTGATGATGTCCTTCTGGCGACCAAGAATGAGGTTGCAACAAGCGCTCTTGGTGCTATTGCTGAGGTCTGGGAGTATGCCAAACCAGAACAAGCCTCACTTGAACGACCTGTTTCGTTCTGCGGTTTTGAGGTGCAGAAGAATGATAGTGAACTTGGAGGAGGTTTTTGCCTGCATCAAGCCAGTTGTGAGGCGGAATTGGTCAAGATGTGGGACGTCAAAGACGTGTCAAACCAATTGAATTTCAATCTTCCAGTGCCAGAGCAAGAAGCTGAGATGGTGAGATCTGAGGATGTGGAAGCAGTACGCCGAGCACAAGCTTGCACAGGCTCTAGTTTGCCTGGCGACAAGAATTAGGCCTGAGCTTTTACTTGGAGTGGCTGCTATGTCAAGATTTTGTACAAAGTCGCCGGAAATCACTCTGCTGATTGGTCAAAAGATCATGGAGTACTTGAAGCGGCCAACGTTGGTTTTGATCTATGCTGATCATTGCAGACCTCCCCATGGAGTTCGTCAGCAGCTAAGCCAACCACGATGTTGCGTACTGTGGAGGCCTTCTCACACATCTCTTATGCTTCAACTGCTGGGTTTATCGATCGGGTTCGTGGTCCTCCACGTGGGCAACCCAGCGGGCGAGCCTATAGGCCTATAGGCGGTGACTACAAGGCCCGGCAAAGGCGCAGAGAGCACTTCCGTTTCCAATTGCTTGCCTGCCAGCAGCTCAAGTTTCCAATGTATACTGATGCTATGCCAAAGGCACCCGCAACGCATGTTTCAGAGAATGGGGTGGATTTTTTTTGCTGCGCATCCACCTTTCCTTGGCGGCAGTAGTTTCTCATGTCACAGTGGCTTTGCTGATGTCACAGTGGCTTTGCTGGTCAACAGCAACCGCGTGATGCACACAGTTTGCGATTGAACGTTGCTGGTCCACATGTTTCGTTTGCATGTAGTTTTCCAATGCCGGGAGCTCGCACCCGCAAGAGGCGGGAGCGACATCAACAAAGAGTCAGAGAGAAGCAACGCAAGGAAAGAGAACAGAAGCAAAGAATGATATGGAACCAGAGCTTGTCCCTGGGGAGAGCCCTCCTACACCACTAGGACAAACCAGAATTGGTGCCATCAATGTAGAAAAAACCAATGTTGCAAAACTGGAACAGTTAGTGTGCTTGGCGGCCAGCAGGGGAGAAAAATTGCTTCAGAATGTTCCCCCACCTCCGGAAGGAACCAGCAACCCACACAGCAATGCCGCCATTGGAAATGGGAAGGCTGGGAACCGGTTCACACCAACATGGTCGGATTTTTTTGAACCCGGGGCGGTCAGCCATTTGGCATGCATTCAGGGCTCCAAAGCATCGGTCCAGAACTGAGAGGGTTTTATCTATTGTTCTGCCACGAGGTCCCAGTGCTCTACCAAACAGCAAACCACCATCCTGGATAGTGACAGCTGTGTGGGCGCCGGTGCCTACATCTACTTCAGATGAACTGGATGGATTCTGGGATGAGGTCACTCATGAGACCGCTGCTACAGAAGTTAGCTTCAGCCCTCCTTGCACACTCACGCATGCCCTTGGCACACATACACACACACTCCACATATATTGCAGGAAATTGAAACACACAGCTTTTTGAAGATCTGAATGAACCAAGTGAAATACTGGGAAGATATAATCCCCTTGCCAGGCATCACACTGATGAGTATTCAACTAGTAAGGTTTTGTCCCTTGGCCAATGGGTGCATGCCGACACCGACCTGCCCTGGCGAACAGACACCGCGGCACTTGGTACTCAACGATTCACCGCAAGTATTATGAGATTGACTGGGTGCTCCTTCGCCGTAATCAATTTTCCACGCTTGTTAGAATGACTTTGCGCACTGATTGGGGGGAGAGCGAGAGCGCTTATGGCAGCAATTAGAGATGAGGATGAGTGTGAGCTTCGACGCCCGGGAGGACAAGTCTGCGGCTTAAGTTTGGCCACGGGGGAGGGCCAAGGGAGCTGGAGAACGAGGCACAGAGCCGCGATTCTTCAGTCAGCCCTTCAACGTGGTGAATGGGAGCTGGGTCATCTCACAGGCAAAGAGTTGGTGGCGGATTCCTTTACGAAAGTTGTTGATGGAGAATCTTTTACACTAGCTCTACAAGATCTGGGTGTGAAAGCCGTAAAACCTTTAGTCATTGCTGACTGGTGTGAAAGCGTCTGAGGAGATTGAGGCTCATGATGACATGTTCTGGCTCTGGATTTGCAGTCTTATCCTGATGTGTGTGTGTGTGTGGGAGCAGTCTATGTCGGCAGCAAGGCATACCGAAGTGGTGTCTGGTTGCATAGAAGACTGTGGGACATCGGGGAGTAAAATGAGGAGAAGCGAGGATGAAAGTGACCGAGAAAAGCTTTTGTGTGCATGCGATGACCGTGCTCATCAAGCTCAACCAGTGGATATCAGTCAGCTTCAAACTGTGGCGATCCTGAGTAGAGCAGCGCAGGATGATCCCTACAACAACATGCATGGTAGAGGTCCAGGACGACGACGACGACGACCACCACCACCACCACCACCACCACCACCACGGCCACGACGACCACGACGACCACGACGACCAGGAGGACGAGGAGGACGAGGAGGACGATGACGATGATGACGATGATGATGAGCGACCTGAGCGTCCATTGAAACTGCACAGAAGTGATCAACTGTCGAGGCGCAGAAAGAAGAAGAACCAGAACCGAAACCGAAGTGCGACTAAAGAGGAGAATGATATGGCGTTGGAGCGGGCTTGGCAAACAATGTGGAAGACTACCACAAGTTTGGCTGGCGCTACTACCCTTACGAGGATTGTGCCACAGTCCGGCTTGCAAGCTTCTAGTGATGCTCCTTCTAGGAGAAGCGCGCCACAGTCGGGCTCGAAAGGTTCTGGCGGTGTTTCTTCATATTTGAGACTGCCAGCACAGTCGGGCTTTAGCAGTGCTACCGTGCACCCATCTCAATTGCGTATGCCCTCACGGTCGGGCTCTCATAGCATTGCAGTGGGTGTCTCACCGTACGACATCACAGAGTCGGGCTCTGGCAGCATTGCAGCTGATGGTTCATCAAAACATGACGGCACAGTCGGGCTCGCAAGCAGCTGCTAATAGGCCTGAGCGTGGCACCAATTTCTGACTCCACAATGCGTGAAAACCGGGGAACAGAGAAGATGCGTGCAAAATCGAGAAGTGTAACATAAACGCCTTGATCCCTGGCCCTGGAACCAGATTTTTCCCTGGGAAAAAGGGGGAGTGCACTGGCCAAAGTGTGGCCAAGATCAATGTAGTATCTGAACATTCAACTTCGACCTTTTGAGGCGTTTTGTGTCAACACAAAAAAAGTGATGTGCCCTTGATCATTCAAAGAAAGAAATGAAGGGCAATTCCCCATGTTTGGGGAAGTGTATTTTGCAAAAAAATATCCATCAGTTAGGAACTGTTTTCCGCGGATGGTGTGTTAAGAATCAACTTGGAATAAACCCATTTTGGGATGTGTCTTGTATATGTTTTGGTGTGGTAAATCCAAGTGGATGGCGTGGTAAGGGCTTCAAAGGGTAATGATCCGATAGGTGTTGAGCCATCTTTCCCAACTCGCCAAATTTGGATCTGTGCTATGTGGGCACAAGTTGAAGCCTGGATTGTTTTGACCCGTCCATGCTACTCTTCGCAAATTTCTGGTGAAGTGACTGAAATGACCGAATCCAGTAGGGCAACTCCTCCATGTTTGGTCAAATATGAGTATTCAGATGTCAATTTAATGCTTGTATTCTTGTACGAACCACAGGCCAACCAAAAATGTTGCAGCATTCATCCATTCGACGACTTGTTTTCAGCCAGGTCTATTCTGAGACCAATTCCTTGGACGAGGCAGTTTCTGGATCTGAATCGAAATACCACCCAAACAACGGCGGACCCAGGTGCATTCTAAGGATTTTTGTCCACACGATGTAACATGATTTTGAAGACCCTCTCCTGAAACTTAAAGGTGCATCAATGAGGATTGATTGGTGGCATATCACGACAGGAATGAGCCACGCCATGCAACATGATCACAAGGATTATTATCAGGATTTCTGCATTGCACCCCAAAAGTAACGAAACCAAAGACAGCGCCAATCAAGAAAGGCCAAAAACATGCCAAAGATTAGATGCAACCAGCCAAAAAGTCGATATACCCAGTACCCACAAAGTAATGCATGTCGAATGATCAGCTGTTTGGAGGATTCAAAAATATGGTGAAATATACTCCTGTATATTTTATATATAGTACACAATAAAATATACAATCTAATGCACAATTTAATAAATAATATAAGAAATAATATGAAATATGGGAAATAAAATATATAATATACAATATTTAGTATATTGTATAGAATATTTTATAGATTATATTATATATGATTAATGTAATATGTATAATACATAATGCCTTATATATGATATACTATATATTTTTATATATAATGTAATAGATATATAATAATATTTTATATATATATATTATAGATATTATATTTTTAATTCATATAATATAGAATATGGTATAGATATATATGTATTTTTTGTAATGTAATATATGTTATATAGTATATTAAAAAAAATAAAGTAAATATATTGTGCTAAAATATATAAAGTATAGATAATACAATATCTAAAAATATGTACTTTATTTTTTATACAATATATAATAATATACAATATCTAAAAATATTGACTATATTTTTATTTATGTTTCAAATATTTCATATATATAATATATAATGTATAATATATAATGTATAATATATAATATATAATATATAATGTATAAAATATAATATATAATATATAATATATAATAGATATTTTTTGTATATTATGCAATGTTATATGTATATTATTTTTCATATAATATATAATTCGAAATATTTAATTTATAATCTATGATATATTTCATAAAATATTAAAAATGTATAATAAATAATTTGTAATATAATGTATAATGATTTTTTGTAATACAATGTAAGTTACTATAATGCAATTTAATATTATGTAATTTTATATAATGTATTTTATTTATTTTTAATTTAATATAATATCATACAATTTTGATATTATTTAACTTTCTATAATATGATACAATATAATTTAATATTTTATCATTTAGTATAATATAATTTAATATAATTTAATATAATATTATATAATATTGTATAATAATATATTTAATTTTATATTTTGAATATTATGTGTATATTGATGTATATATATATGTATATTTAAATTACATTTGTGCATTTCCTATTTGAATGTTTTGACCACCTGTTTTCTCAGGGAAAGCAACCGACAATTTGAGGAGGCTGAAATTTCCTCATGCCAACACCTGATCCGCACCTATTGACTTGCTTCACAAATTGGCTGTGGAATGGTGTGAACCGTGGTAACATCAAAATTAGACTACCACATACTATCACTGACTTTTGCATTGTGTAGGTCCCAGGTCTTACATGGTGTTGCTAGTGCACAGCCAGGCTTGCCCTTGGGCCTTTCACGTGCGTCGTGTTTTAGAGCCCAAGAAGGTGCCGCAAAATGGAGCAAATTCTGGGTGTTTTTAAAGCAGTTGGGAACGGACATTTTCGCGTGCTTGGGAGAAATCATGGATCGAACGCTGGAACATATGGATTTCCCCATTCAAGTGGAGAACATTTTGTGACTTTCATGTGGAAGTAGAAACGTTCGTTGATGACTCGGGTGACTCGGGATCTCATGCGTCGTTGTCCTGTGAGCAACAATGCCGAGCCACGCCTGGTACGACAACACCATGGTTGGATCAGTTTATACCATATGAAATGCCCATACTTCGTCATATTTGTACAATAGTAACTATATTTCATTGATTCCTTAGTGTATGTATAGAATTAAGATGAATTAAGGACAGTGACCATGTTTCATCAAACATTCTCAGTGAAACTCTCAGCTGATTTTCGAATGGCCGACAAAATGCTACATCCCGACGTGGTCGGTCCAATCTGACATCGGTCATGAGAATCAAGTCCACCATCGGAATCTAAGCCAGGGAATTCGGCGGAATCCGGGAATCCCTGTTTTATTTGGGACTTCATGAGCATCTGCAACTGTAGGATTGCCCTAACCATATTGCCTTTCAGGGTAGATGGGTAGATCATCGAATCAATTCACCGCTCCAGGTCCCATGCGATGCTGGTGTTGCGGGAAACCCAGTCAATTTACAGGGATATAGGGCTACGCAACTGTGAAGTTACTAAAATTGGGCTTGCTGCCACGGTCTTGAGCAATTGAGAGGCTGAATTTAGTTAGTTTTTAGCAACCTTTTGCAAAGTACCAGGCCACTGTACAGGCATATCAGTCGGTGCAGATCGTCTTTAAACACGTATGATGAGAGTGGCCAAAAGATTCATGATGATTATTATATTATTATATTATTATATTATTATATTATTATATTATTATATTATTATATTATATTGTTTTATTATATTATATTGTTATATTGTTATATTATTATATTATTATATTATTATATTATATTGTTATATTGTTATATTATTATATTATTATATTATATTATATTATAATATATTGTTTCGCACTAGTGTCACACTATATTATATGGCAATGATGATGATGATGATGATGATGATGACGATGATGATATATTACAATCTATGATACGATATGGTGTGATGTCAAGAGGATGGACGAACTCGCCCAGGAAGCGTCACCTTTGGTGAACCTGTGGCCCTTGTCACTGGCTCAGTGGCAGAGACTGTAGTGGCTGCACGACCACGGTCACTTCAGTTTTCATAAGACAAACCGAACCACAAATCGTCTGATTATCTCATCTTTGTTGAGATTATTCCATCTAAGTGTTCAAGGTTCATGTCCCCACTCTCGTTGATATTCTGAAATTCTCCCCCGCGGATTGTATATATCCAATGATTGTCCAGCAATGATGCAATTGCACGTCCAGAATTTGCCAACAATGACAACCAAAATGACAAATTGTATATTCAGAATATTATCCAGCACCAATATTGGCATAGTCCAACATAGATAATCACTATCAATAATTCAGTGGATAAATATTTGTGCCCCGTTTTGATGTTGCTCCAGGCAGAGGCACACTGAAGTCCAGGCATTGAATGAGAGATGGGAAAACCCGTCAAAAACTATGGGATATTCGGGATATTCGCCTAGAAATCCCATATCTCGGTATTTTTGTTGGGTATTTTTGTTGGGTAAATCAATAGGTCTGTCAAAGAATTGGCGAATTTTGCACCCAATGGCGAGTAGAAATGGGGAAACAATTGAAATAATGATAAAACATGAGATTTGGTCCCTCCCATGTTTTTTAGTGCTACACCCCTTCTATTCAAAATGTCCATCAAAAAGGAACTGCGTGGATTCTTCGAAGATCCGAAGCACTTCATCTTGAGTGTGAATGTGATCATATTTTGTAGTTACTCACTCACTTAAAGAACCCTAAGCATCTTTGAGCACATCATGTTTTATCCACCCGCTGCAGGCGCAGGTGCCGTCTGCTGCCCTGCAAAATCTGGAAGATGGGTGGGTGTCTCAAGCTGTCGGTCTTATTTATTGGATTATATAAGCCAATAGTATAGATGACTATATGGTGATATCATGATATATAATATGGGGATATCATCCAACATGCAATGTAGATACTTCCCATACAGTTTTTGAAGGACACCCTAATGACATTGCAGGTTCACAAACGCATTTTCCAAAGAGTTCGTTCAACTGTAAGATCTACGCCATGTTCGAAGAGCATACGAGGACTCTTGCCCTGATACGGCCTGTTTGTTATAAATGTTCTTCCTGTTTTTCCATTCCTTCAGAAACCCTTCAAGCAGACTTTCAAAGCGGAGATGACGTAGAGCCCAAGGAAGTTTTGGTCCCTGCCCATGTTTGTTCCCAAAATCCATACTTCTGTTGGATATATCCGTATATCCGTAATTGCCGACTTCTGTCAGTGTCAATTACCTGGTGTTTTCCATTCCCATTATTCCCATTAAACCATCATTAAACCATCATTAAACCATCATTAAACCACCATTAAACCACCATTAAACCATCATTAAACCACCATTAAACCATCATTAAACCATCATTAAACCATCATTAAACCATCATTAAACCATCATTAAACCATCATTAAACCATCATTAAACCATCATTAAACCATATAAACCTATCATGACCCTAAGGCCCTACTTCGTTGTGCTCGGTTTCCTGGATGCCAATAGTTGGGATCCCAGCGGTTGAGAGCCCCAGGTGCCACTGGGATCTATGGATCTTTCGAATATTTTGACGAAAAAATGATCTCCACATATCTCCATGTTTTGTCAAAAAATCCGCCTCTTTGGTATTTTCGACTTTGGATGTTGCCACTTTGCAGGTTTGGCTGCGGCAGATGCTGCATGTCAAACCTTCAGGCAGTGTGTGGGCTGAGGATATGACGGATATGATTGGTTCAAGATGGGAAATCAATGGAAATCATTCCCTGAAATTGCCCCCTTAAAAACAGGGGAAATGGCGTTTCCCACAGTTGATTTTTCACAGCAAGACATGGTTTCTGGCCACTCCTGTGAGCAAAACATCAGATATGTGTTGGGCTCCAACCTTTTGCAGATTGCGAAACAGTTCCACCATTTGATTTGTTTGGATGTTTAGGTAGCAGTTGTACCAATCACCGCAACGAAAAACGCGAAACGCGCTAGCCATGTACCTTGGCAGGACTCTGAACATGCTAGCTGGCACGGAGCTCAACGATGTGGCGATTGTGGACGAAGATTTGACCCATGTATTTGACGAATTCAATGTTGATCTGTGCATATCTGTGCCATGAGTGGATTCCCAAATTGTGGGAGATCCAATGCTTGGGCCCCTCAAATCGACCATGTTGCTCGACTTGCAAGGGGCTGCAGCAAACATCCAGATCCACGTAGACACACGGTTGAACTCGATAGAATTGCCCCCCTTGGCTGAGGCAATTTGAAAATGGTGTAAGCCTGTAAGCAGCCCAAAATTCTCGAGGTTTTAGCCACCGGCCATCAGGTGGACCTTGGCAAGATCTTGGCACTGAACTGTCAAATTCTCAGGAAAGTTATACCCGTTTCAGGGGTTGAAATCTCTGTTCAAAATGTGATCCCAATCGAGGTTCGGAATTCAGGAGCTCCATCCGGCGCTGGTTCGTATCCCCATATATCCACACACTTTGTTGGGATGAATATGATGAAACTATCGTGAAATTCTGTGGTGAATTGATGGTGGATACTCATGATATCCAACCATTATCCAACCATAATTGACCATCATATCATCATTAACCCTTGATATCCATCGTTGTAACCGGGAACCGAGGTTCCGAGGCTTAGAACTGGAAGACGAAGGCACCTTTCAAGGCCTGAAGCGGCGGCATAAGAGAATAATGCTTCATGAATGTTCATGATGGTGAATCATTAGTTAATTATGGATACTTATGGAATTCTTATGGATAATAATGGTATATCCCATTGTATCCCATTGTATCCCATTGTACTATACTTAACAAATCTTAACAATACACATTTTGGTCACTGTTGACATTACGGGGCTGGGATTCCCATCCGACGCAGGCGAGGGTTGTGCAGACCCTGACTGTGCGGCACGAGTGGTGCGGAAGCCACAGTACGAATCACCACGAATCGACCACCGAAAGTTTCCACAGAGGTTCAGTCAATGGCAAATGTCTAGCCATGAACCAGGGATTGCAACAGGTCCTGTTCTAAGGATGTTAATATTGAAAATATCACTTTTGGTTGGAGATACTGTCCTCATGCTTGGATGTTGCCTTGATACACTGAGGATTGGCGCGGGCGCTTCGCACGCTTTCGTTGGGCCTTGCCGGGGAGCACAAGGAGTGAAAGGATAGCCCGAGAAATATCGGCATGTCGTGAATTTTTGGGTACCCCTTTTACCAGACTTCATCTTTGCACGGCTTGTCTCCCATGACCCTTGAGCTGTATGAGTTGGGTGTTCTTGAGAGATTGGATCCGCAGCCTACAAACACCAACAGGCTTAAAATCCTAAACCTCCCCTTGGTTTTGTATGGTTTTGTCCCAGTAGAACTCCCCCAACTTCACCAATTTCTGAAATTTCGAAAGCCACTTAGATCCACTTAGTTTCAACGTTGCCCTCATCGGTGACTCTGACAGCTGTGAGGCCCAGCTTCCGTGCCCCTTTTAATGGTCCAGAGATTCACTGCGTGGAGCAGGTGCTACCATCAGGATGAAGTGGAAGCCCAGATGCAACGAGCATAACTTTTGGCTCCAACGTTTTGAGTTGACCTTGGCTGATTTTGGGACCCCAACTTATAGCAGATGGCCTCACGCAGAAATGCTTTGGATAAGGAACTTCGGTGGGTTAAGGAGTACCCCTTATTACCCCTTCGTTTTGTTTTTTCTTCAGGTGTCAGTGGGCTGAAGGTACTCCGAATCCATCACATGTTCCGTATCCAAAGATCCAAACAGCGGCATTTGAAGGACCTGGATTCATCCTGTCAAGTGAGAACCCGGTATCGGCTTCTTACTGCATCAATTTTCGCAGGCGGATGAGATTGCCTACTGCCGGTGTCGTTTGCGTCTGGGGACCCAGAAGCCAAGATCATCTGAGTCCGCTGCGCAAACCCATAGGAATCAGTCAACCAAAATCTACGGTAGTGTCAAATCGAACTTCCAGCAGCTAAGACCATGAGACGCATTGCCAGCCTGCTTGCAGGATTTCCATGGATTTCCGAGTTATGACGTACCGTGGAATCTCATATCACCCAAATAGTTCCTTCCAGTTCTTGGAATTGGAAAGTAGGCAGGTGATTTAGCCACTCCAATTGTGCGAAAACGCTGCAGAAAACAGGGCAGAAAGCATCAATCAGATTCAATCAGCTCATATGCCTCCTTTCGTCACGCTTCTCGTCGTTTCTCCATGACCCACATGTTCGCCCCGTTCTGACTCCCGTGAGGAGCTGACATCCTGTCGCGACAACTGAACACCGGCATCTATTTGGAGGCGGGATGGTCTCCATGTTTGGAGCTATTCAGTTGGAGGAGTTGAACTGGAGTCCCGGTTGTAGCCATAAATCTCATTATTTCGATCTTTTTGGAAGCCTTGATTGAATTTGGTGTCTTTCGGAGGTGATTGAATTCATTAAGGTTTGAGACTCAAGTGGGCTTCGATCACTCCTTTGGTGCTCCAGCTGGACTAGCAAGCTTTTCAGACTGCAGGTGGAGGTGATCACCAACCCCGACAACGTGAGTGTGGCCGTGGTGGACTTTGAGGTGGGAGAAATGGCGCATGCCGGAAGATGAAAACTCGGATTTGTTCGAAAAAATCCATGGATTTTCACAGAGGGGTAGACCTCATGGCAACTGAAAATTGTGAAAATGATATCTAAAATGATGATAAACCTGTTCAGGTATTGATTTTGTGCTTAGCTTATTTTCAAACATGGCTAGATGGTGAAAGCCATCAGGGCATTTGTGCGATCACGTAGATCAAAACGATTTCACCGATGTGCGTGAGCACAGATGATAGACCTTAGAAATCCGTGGAAGAACTAGAGGTATTTTCAGTGACCATACAATGAGGTATACAATGAGGTATACCAGCTATATCCCACAATCCATCAAAATCCGCTGATTTATCATGTCCAGGCAGGTGGTTGCAGCAGTGTCCGGAAGCCCATTTGTTTGTCCAAAGCGCGGGTAGTGATATAGCCAACGATCCAAAAAATGAATACTGCATGGTATTTGAGCCTGGGACAGAAAGTCACCCATTTTTTAGATGTGTCACCATGTTTTGCCATGTTTTACCTATTGAAAATGGTGAGTCTTCATGACCAGGCTGTTACCAACCAATAATCAGCCCAATGAAATATAGATTCAAGTCTATTCTTCCTCCAAGAAGTGATGCTTCCAAGCTGGGCGGGCACAAATCCCAGAACTTGGGGATGATTTTAGCATATGGCAATCATTGCTATAGAATCAGTCAATCTCCAGAGGCATATCATAAGAAAGTGCGAAATATCCAAAACATATGGCATCTGATGATTGGCCGCCATTGGCCATCATCCCGATGCTCCGGTTCTGTTATTGGATTTGCACCCTGACTTCAAAAAGCGTTACCACTGCTCCTGATTCACATTCAATCAGGAATTTCAGTCATGTAATGGACATGTTCTACATGATTCATTTCTGATCATCTCAACTGGGCTGCAATGCGTCCAACGCTTCCAACTGATTGCTCGTGGCACTGCTCAGTGGCCGGCAGAGGAAGCAGAAAATCTTGGAGAAACTTGAAGCCACAGACTCACATTTGATTTGGAGGCAAATGACAAGAACAATATGGAACATACTGTAATTAATTTCTTAGGAACAGAAACAAATTTTGAAAATTTGATGAATCGCATCACTTTTCAACATGACTGTGAAACCTTGAACCTATGGGCCAACCAATGGCTGGTTCCATGTTGACAGGTCACCTTCAGTCCCGACACCGGCGCCGTCATCCGAGAGCGCAAGGCTGGAACCAGTTGACCTTTACCGGGGATTGCCCAACAGATTGTGGTGGACGCCTACGATTTCCTTGAACATCTTGCGAAAATGCAACAAATTTCATTGAACTGCTGTCATCAGAAATCTACAAAATGAGATGTGTGCTTACCACGTAATGTTATAAGCAAAAGTAGTATATAAGGAGGATCCTATAGTGTGCTTCAAGTATAGGAATGGTATCCTTAAAGTCGCAGACGAAACTTGGATCCAACATTCGGACTCAATCTTGACCTCACGACTGAAAACAGATGTCACATGTGTCATGTCACCCACAGTTTGCCGCGTCCACGAATGCGCAGGTACGCGAGGTGCCTCGCAAAGTGGAAGGCGGTCAGAGATATTGAACAGCTTCACCATTTTGGGTGATACCAGATGTAAATCACTGCCGAAATTTTAGTGGTATGTATTTTCGAACCATTCTTGAAAACCCTCATGACATCGCAAGGATATCTAGAGATGTGGATGTTGGATGTTCCATATGATGAACCATGAAAGTGGATGGCTGGAAGATGTTGTTACAGAAAGCTCATCAACTCATCACTGTGCCAGGCGCCTACATCCAACCCTTGGCGACCATCACTGCTGGTCAAGGCTTTGAGGGTTGTATGGGCGTGGAAGCTCAGTGACAGGAGTTTTGCTTTCAGAAATGTCAATCATTTCACGAGTTTTTGCAGATTTGGGGCGGTTCAACTTGAACCTGTTCAAATCGATCTGCGGGAAAGATTGGAAGCTAAAAAGAGGCTCTCGAGATTTATGATTCCACCATATTCCACCCTGTTCCACCATTTTCCACCTTTCCCCAAGAGGCACCTCAATGGGGAACTTTTCAGTTGAAGCCTGCCTGTGACCCCGCTCCCAGGTGTATACTTGAGCGGTGGAAATTTAGCCTTCTTCAGGAGGGCTGGTGTTCCCCGGCCCGGTATTGACCCATAATGATGCCATAATGATGCCATAATGTTCCTGAGTGGTTGGGGGCGAGCAACTCCCAATGGATGGTGGATATGTCGAAGCAACAGGAATATTCCAGTGATGTGGTCGTAGCATGTTTACAACCTATTTGCTACCCAACCCAGTGGAACATGAATGCACTGCCTTACCGTGCATTCTTTCGCACAAGATATTCAGCCGTCAGCCGTTTACTGGACGTTTGCTGTGGGGCAACAGTGGGGCAACAGTGGAACCAGCGATGCGAAAAAAGAGAACATCCCGAACGAACAGAGAACGAACAGAACTCCTCAAGGCATTTGCGGTCACCGATCAGGAAGCGCTCTGTGGGCAAACGTTTCGATCAGAGAAACTTCATCTTTAAGAAGTTATGACCGGGGCTGCAACTGACGAGTCGGAGAAACTCTCCCGGCTTCGCTCCAGCTGTTTGAACTTCTAAAAGTCCATGAGGCTGACAGCACCAAGTTTCGCAGATCAGTTTCTCATCTGGGCGACTTCAAGAAGAACGCCTCATTTGCTCGAAGCAAGATGGGGTTGTATTTGGATTTGGAGGGATGTAAGAGGAGCTGAGATGGCGATGCAGGTGCAAGAGCTGGCTAAGTTCCGAGCCTTCAAAGAGCAGACAAATCAAGTTTACCGATGTAATTTTAAAAAAGAACTAGGGATTCACCAAAGTTGTTCCAAAAGGTCAAAGATTTTGCCAAGTTAGACCTGGCATCTGCCAGAACAAATGCGACAGAGACAGCACTATGGATGCAACTCCGACCATCTGGCAGTTGAATCAAAAGACCCAGTAAAACTTGGGTGTCACATGACATTACCATCTTGATAGTATCACTGTGGTGATGACCGCATTTTTGCTGGTCTCTTGTTTCATATGGAGCGAACGAAGGGAAGACCCTTGAAAAAACACCCTGGCAACATGCTGATCTTGGCGAGAGTAGAAAGAAAGCCTGGGCAAACAACCACGGCAACAGGGTGTTGGACGAATCGTCCAGGGCGGTGTTGCCGTGGTTGACGCTTTCCTTGCGGTTTAAGCTATTTTAAGCTGCTGAAAACTGAGAAACCATCCAGGAGCAATGCACTGAAGTGACCAGCTCGAATCCAACCGCCGTTCGGTTCCCACGCATTATACTAGTTGATTCATGTTGATTCTGCTCATTCGACAGCCAAAGTAGCTGCAGTGACTTTCTTTGGCTTGAAATCTAATTGCGATGCTGCTGGAGACCTGTTTTATCGGTTGACACCCCAACCTTCACCACATCACCTGTGGCGTTTCTTCCAAGAATTGCACATGGTCAATCGTCATAGCTGCCCTCAATTTTGGGATGTCAATTGACCTAGAAATTGGTCGTTTCTTGTATTGAACTGCGTCCAATTTTGACCCATGTCCAGTTGCATCTTGTTCAATATCAAAGATGTTCGAATATATCCAACAATCTTCTCCAATGATGAATCACAACAAAGGATGTTGCATGTAAAATAATGTAAATGAATGTAGCATAGTCTTAGAACTTGTCAAAGCTTGGGGATCCACACCAAAAGATCTAGTCATGATACGAGGATAACTTTGCAAGATTTGGAGACTTCAGCACAGTCGAACCAATCAAATCATTGCACCATGCGACCAGAAGGCAGAGTCGTTTACTATTTGGATTCCCAAACGACGCCGTGCCATATGATATTTGCCAGCTGATCATGAAATTGACTTGCGCGCATTTGCGAACCAAATCCCTCAAGGAGACACTACAGACACAGCGATGACAACCAGGCACAGGATGATCAAGATTCTTACAGCAAGATGGTTCATGTATGTTCATTTGTTCACTGGGGCACTTAGGGTCGCATTTTGTCGCTACAGGTGTTTGCAGATCGAAGATTTTGTTTTTGGAAAATCCAAGGGTGGACATAGACATATACATATTATACATACTACTATTTTATATATATATATGTTTATATATATATATATTAATTGTGACAATTGTGATTGTTCCTGCGAGCTTTTCAGCGGCTTTCAGCCTTTCGGTGTAACTTGGGTCGTAGCGATTCACTTGACGCAGGTGAGCCTGGGGCCTTGGGAGTCGGGCAGCCCAGAAAACTGGGTTTAATATTGTCGAAGTTGTCAAACCCACTACGTCACTACAATACACACCCGCCTCTCACCCAACTCCCAACTATTCCAGTTGCATAGAAACCGAATGAAACCTACTCATAGTCCAAAGTTTACAAAGTGTTCATTGAAATCATGGAAGATATCCAAGTTGTACCCATCCAGAGTTATACCATATGTATACCGTATATACATATATATATACATATATATATATATACATATATATATATATATATATACGCGAGGGGACTGAGGTTCTCCGATGCCATCAGCTGTGTTTGAGTGTCAACATGTAAAAAAACAGCTGGCGCCTAGGTAATTTGGCAATTTTTCAATAGTGGCAACGTCCTTTTCAGCATCATGTTGAACGGATCAATTTTTTTTGTCCGTTTTAAAGCAGAGTCATCTTGTGCCAAAAATCATGTTCTCAGAAGTCAGAAATCGCATATTTTGGTGTAAAATTGTGAATTTTCATCGTATAGTCATGGCGTGGTCATGTAAAATTGAGCAAATGTACTGTGTTTTCTCAGGCATTTTGCGTCATGCTACTTTTGCACTGTTATTTGCAATGAATTGGCAATGTGTAGAAAATTGCAAGTGCTGACAGTCAGGCGATTTTTGTGTTTTCATTCTATATAGTAAACTGAACATGACGGTAACATGCCCCACCCCACCCCACCCCTCCCATCAACGTAGCATCAACGTAACATGAACATGACGGTAACATGCCCCACCCCACCCCACACCTCCCATCAACGTAGCATCAACGTAACATGAACATGACGGTAACATGCCCCACCCCACCCCACCTCACCGCTTCTCCATCGGAGAACCCCAGGCCCCTCGGATATATATATATATACCCAATATAGACACCCTGTCACCAAAATGTCACCGCACCAAGGACCACTGGCTTCGTCACAGATCTTTCTTGGGCCGAAGGGGCCCGCCCGGGTTCCCTCCGGGCCGTGGGGCGGTGTTCGCCGCAGAAGCCATTCCTGTACGGTTTGGGTGAGAAGAAACATGCGGAATAGCGCAGGATTGCATGGGATTAAAAATGAGTCATTGACAGAGTCATTATATTGGTTCATATGATTCATATGTATTCATATGTGATGTTTGCGTGACTTGTCAAGGACCCACAGGTAGAGACGTTAAAGACATGCTACCATTCCAGATCGGTTTTCACCGGATCCTTCAGCCATCAGGAACTGCTCTGACATCAACCTAGGCCTGACACCTTGCTTGGCCTTCAGAAACGAAGGTGCAGCTACGACAGCTACGAGTTCCATCGGATGGTTGGGTGGTTTTGATGAAGTTAATGAAGTTAATGAAATTTGAAGTTTGATGAATGGGTCCTGATCTGAAAGTATCTTAGCCTTTGGGTCACAAGCTCACAATGAATTCCAGGCAGCTATCGGGTGCGCATGGTGTGTGTGGGCCACTCACCGTCCCTTCCTCAGTGTCTCGGAGACGTTCACGCATTGTGGAAGTCATCGGACTGAGATGCTGATGAAACGGGGATGAACATTGAAGGATGGATAGGGAGATCTAGTCTGGCATTTAACATCATTTAACATCATTTAACATCATTTAACCTTAGCAACCACGATGAGGGTTCTAGTGATTCCTAACAGCGGAAGCATGTCTATTGGCCAATAATTATAGATAACTGTCAATCGCTACCCAGGCCAATCCTGCCGGAGAAGAACACGGCAGCTTTCGAGGCCGGGCGCTGCAGCGTGCAGTTGGAAAGGCATGGTTTTGCAGACCAGGTTTTCTGGGAAATGCGAAATGTTTTTGGTGAGGAATTATACCCTCACAACAAGTTTGGGTCACACTGTGTTTTTTGTCAGTTCTGATAGGGTATTTGTTTGGATGTGATCAGAGTCATTCATCATATGTCACTAAACCTGTCTGCAAGACCTGTGCAAAGTGTTAATACCAGGTGTTGGTGGTTTGTCCAGTGACGATGCCTGTAGATGCAACGATTACTAGGGGGCCGTGCATTTGATTCACGATGTTGCCAAGTGGGCTTTGGCCGGATTGGTTCCAACATGCTTCAAGTCCCATTTGCCGACACACCCGGATAATTTCACTGTCACTAGCAGAGATTATAGCGAGGTATGACCAAGTATTTTGCGATATTTTCCGATTGGAAATATACCTTACCTTGATTTTTTTATGTCTCCAATCCCCTGGCCTCAGGAAGGAAATTGGAGCAGTCCGGGCCGTCAGTCCAGAAGTAGAATCCATTGCAGCTTTTCCCTTAAATCAATCCAGTGTTACCTGGTGTCCCTGAAACTAACTGATACTTGAGTGTAAGCTCCCCCTGATTATCATGAAGTTTGCTTCTAACAGTTCTTTGGCACAGCCTATCCAGCCCGATGATGTTGAAGAATGTTCACAACGTTTCCATTTCCGCTTTACGAAATACATTTCATACAAGAAGAAAACTGCAGTGGGTGAAATTTGGGTAACGGTGCTTGCAGTGGTTCGCTCATTTTTTGGTGCCCAGGCCTGGATTGGGATGCCACAGAACAGGCGCACGGCACGTCACCGAAAGTTCACGATTTCAGTCACTGTTTTTACAATCAGGAGTTCACGGGTGCTGTTTTTTGTGACTCCCACCAGTAATCAATGTAGTATTTTAGTATCTGTATATATATATATACGTATATATATATATACAGTATAGCTATGTCGCAGGTGCTATAGCCCTTTGCCCGCCCGAAAGGATGCAGAGCTTTGAGGGTTCCCAGCTGTGCCTTGCGTTTTGAGCGGGAGGATCGGAGTTGTTTGTCTGAAAATAGGGTTATAACGGTTATAACCCCCAATTTGTTGTTTTGTTTTTGGAAAATGACAATTCATCAGTAGATTTGGGGTATACTTTATTCCATACAAACCTGCTTGGATGTTTTTGGAGTTAGTATGTGGTGAATAATGGTTTTCAAGCTGAGATTATCTCCATTCCTCACTGGGGAAACGCACCATGGTCATGAACCAGTCACTGACTTGGATGATTATCCAACTTATACTTGATTCACAATCAATTTTTTAGCAGGAACTAAACAAAAGGGCTGCAAGTTATCAGATCCATATGGAAGTCACACTGGCTGTTCTCATGAGGTATACAATTCTGAGGGGACATGGACAATACAGTTGTGACTCTTTGCAGAAGTAAAGATAGATCTGTTTAGATCACTAGATCACAAAATACCTATCCCATGGTCTCAGTGAAATTCAGTGAAATTAGCTTTTCACAGGGATTCTGGTGACAGGTGACATGCACAAGCCCTGGAAAAGCTCCAGCATTTCCAGGTTGGCAGCGCAATCGCCCTTTGAAAGGGTGCCTGTGCGCTGTGCGCTGTGCAGCTGCCCTCTGAGAAGCTGAGAGATTTTTGGACATCAACGTTTTATCACAAAGGGGAACCTGCCCCAACATGACGTTCTTTCAGGTTAGTGAGTTTGAAATGAATATAAAATTGCAATATAGTTCATCAGTTCATCCAGATTACTGCAGCAGTAGAAGGGTCACAGGACTGTCTGGCATCGCACTTGGCTTGGTAAATCCTAAATCTCCGCGCTGAAGACTTCGTTCAAAGATGTCGATGACCCAGGAACACCAGAGATTCTAAGCTTGAGATCCAAAATGAACCAAATTCAAAGAAGTCGCCACCTTATGAAATTTCTTATGAAACTTTCACAATGGTTAGAAAACGTGTTCCAAAATTCTCAGAAGGCTCATAGATAAGCAGGTGGTGCCACCGCGGCATCCCTTGGTCAGAAAATGCTGATGCTTCCCCACGCACGCCTTAGACAAAAGGTGGCCGCACGCTGATCAACGAAACGTCGTTTTTTCCGGCATCCAGCTTGCTTTCTTTGAGCATGAAAATCATGAAAGATCCGAACAAAGGAATGGAATTTACTGCTGCTTCCCAGGAAACAGTGCTATTTGGGGCTATTTGGCTTGTTAAAATGGCCTCACCGTACAAATCTAAGCAGATCGCCCTTCTTCCCGTGCCAAATTTCTAGTGCAATTTGAAGAGTTTCCCTCCTCTCCCTCGTCCGCTAGCACGGTGAATGTTTTCCCATCACCAACATTAGTAAGTGTATTGCAAGGAACTTGCAAGTGACTACATGAGGACATACCAAGTACTACCAAGTTCTACTAAGTTCTATTAAGTTCTGCTAACTTACTATATCGTTTTACTTTCCACTGAGCATAATCAGCTGGATGCCGGGTGAGTTTTAGGAAAATGCGCTGTAGGCAGGTGTGACGCCAGGTGCGTAGTGCGACATCACCGATCCTGCTCTGGGTCCTCGTCGCGGGAGAACTGCGGTGCGATGGAAAATTCGGCATCGGGGTTTCCCGTGGTGGGCCTTTGGCGGGACCCGAAGGTGATTCAGTGATCCTAAAGTGCATAGTTTTCATAGATTTTCAAAGGGGGTCCACTGTTTCCTGTTCAAGTCAATCTCACAACACTATACAGTTTCATGGTGAGAACATGCCATGTCAACAACATCCTTCTATCACATGGATTTCATGTAAGAGAATTTGGATCAGAGGGTGCAAGGTCCATTTTTCAAGATGCACAATCAGGAACCCCACCTGAGCTTATGCCTCAAGACGAGATGTCCCAGTATGACCAAGGATGATCATTGCTTAACAAATGGCAAATCATTGTTGCAACCATATTCCAGGTGTTTTTGGGGCGCATGTGCCGGATCCCTCACATCAATGGCTGGTTGGAATTTGCCCCTTCCATCATTCTAAGGGCAATTGCAATTCAGGAGGCTATGAAAAGCGGTGTGAATACCTTTCAACAGCAGAAACACTACCGACAATGACGACGCTTGCGCACCTGGAAAAAGCCCAGACAATGCTGCAGTCCGATCGTTCTGACATGGCGTCAGACCGCTTGCAATGATGGGATGAAATTGAGCAATGGCAATTGGGAGAGCATGGCATAGGTTATTTCTTCTTACAGTATTTACTCAGACAGCCCAACCAACCGAAATGGTGGTCTAGGTGTGGTGACGAAAGGCACTTCGGTGATGTATGCAGTGATGTATGCAAGGATGCATTGGTGTGGCGTTGTGTGATACAATGTCATTTTATATCATCTGATGCAACAAAAAAATACAGTGTTTCATGCGATTGTTCAGCTAATACATTGTGAATATATTGCTATACGACATGAATTCAAACCGTATGAACTACTGTGGTACATTTAGATCGCCTTCCAATTCCGCAGAGAGAAGGAACTTTTCACCCCTCCTGTCTACTTTGAGACATGACAGGGCACTTGAGAAACCTCACGAAACAATGAAAGATCATGAAAGATTATTACAGAAATATGATCATGGTTGCATCCAAAAGATATCAAATTCCTTGCTGAAGCGGTTGTGCTGCCAGTTCGGAGATGGGCTGAGTACGTGGGCAGCCCATTGGTGAGTCAATGTAGATCGATCTGTGTGCAGTGAAACAGTCGTGAAAGATTATGACCCTAGCAATAGATAATGATACGATCTTGATTCTTGATATATCTTGATATTATGAATATGTTTTGATTCTGTAACTTCTGTGTTTTGCCAAAATCAAGCTTCTCATTTTAAGAAGCACAAGAAACTTGCCATCCAGGCAAGGTGTAACCCCCCAGAGGGCATGGGTTACACTAGAGCTGCGTCCCAAGATGCGAGTTTTGCGATCAATGCCGGGCTGAAAGGGGCCTTCAAGAGGGATGGGCTGCACAGCCCGTTGCATAGTCACGAGAGTCATGTCTAGTTCTTTGGGAAATGACCTTGTATCACATCAGCTTTGGGAACCCTTCAAATAAAAGGCTCTCTCTCTCTCTCTCCTTGTTCCGCCAAAAGTGCCATGCTCCAGATGTGGTAGCTACTGTACACAGCCAAAAATGCAGTGCAGCAAAAGCTAAAGGACAAACACTGGCTAAGGGATTTGCAACGGAAGCAGCAGACCAATCCTCTTGGCATCGGTCGGTGGATCACAGGCAGACCCTGGCTCAACACACCAGAAATTTCGCTGACTTCGGAGTGCACCGCCTATCCACAGCCGCTTACTTCGATTCGTATCTTGTATGGCCTCATTTAGACAGCATCATGCTAGACAGGGAATGGAGGGTTCTAGACTTCAACTTTACGAATGTGTAGTTGTCATGGTTGTCATGGTTGTGATGGTTGTGGTTACCTTCCGACTTACACTTCACAAGTCCAATGGTTTCGGTCGAGTGTGACGTGCCAGTCTGCCTGTGCATCAACGTTTTGGGAGATGCACTGGAGTCTTCAGTTGTCTAAAACGTTTTCTCACGGATCCAATGCATTCGCCTTCACAGACTTCACAGCATACCAATCTCAACTCCAGTAGCAGGGCCTGCAAAGTCCACCAGCGGGTGGATTTTGCAGAGCTCACGGGACTGTCCAATGCTCCGATTTAGTGTAGGTTGCCTTGCAAAGTGATGGCACTTCTTGGGGAGATCAGAAACTTTGAAGGTTTTCTCTGTATGACAACTTATGACACAACTTATGACATTTTGATACATTTTGATCATGCCAACTGGGCCGTTTCAGACAAGAACCTTTGGTTCCAGCAAGCCAAGAAATGAAAACATCATCCACTTGGCTGTCGATGAACCAGTGGCACCAAGTGTGGGGATAAATTGAAACCTACGATACCATATTTGGTGCCAGGAACATTCATTTTCCAGCTATGCTTACCCATGGGTTCCGGCTGATCGCCATTTGGGGCAGATATTTCATGTCAAATCGATGATGATCTGCCAGTTCATTATGAGTTCAGTATGAGTTCATTGGATCTCTCCAGACGCCAAAACCGTGGCAAGTTTCTCAGCGTCTCTGGTGTCGACCCTCGGTCGCAAGGGTGGGATGCAATGGGTGCTGGGTACACTTCATTCGTTACCACAAAAGGTAGATTCAGGTAGATACTCCATTCCACATGGGTATTTTCTATGGATATTTCTATGGTTATTTCTATGGGTATATGGATGATCCAAGACTTCCTAAGGTTGCAGATAACAGTCGTACCTTTGGGTGCTCCCCAAACATGACCCTCCAATTCAATCGGAGTTACAAATCCTAACGGCCGAGGTTCAAAATGATCCCCAAGAAATTCTATTCCATCGGTTCCATCGGTTCCATCGGTTCCATCGGTTCCATCGGTTCCATCCCAGAACTCACCAAATCTATATGTTGTTCAAAACTGTTGTTGTCTATTGTGGTTTCCCTTGACAGCCCAGGATCGCCACAACGCCCGGAAGCTCCAGGCCGGGGTTCCACTGGACCCCTGGTGCGGAGCCCCAGACGAGTTCCGTGGAGTCCCTTGATGTTTCAGACCGTGACCTCTGCCAGATTTTAGGCAGGCCTCTTGGAATCCAATGAAATTCAATATCTGGACCTCATTGATGGGGAACAGAAGAAGAGAAGGGTAAGAAAATCTCAAATATGTTTCTGCCCTGGGACCATGAGTCATGTCGGCCAATCTTCATTCCACATTACCTTGAGCATCCCTGTAGATATGGAATCACTTATGAATGAAGGTTGAAGTTTTGGTCCAAGATCAACGCTGGTGACGCCTTCCCCTCCCCTGAGGCCGCGAGTTCCAACTAATGCAATTTGTGCCGCGTGCACTGTTCGCGCTCGGAGCGAAAGCGACTGGTGAAAACCGTGCCGTGGCAACGCTAAGACATGAAGACATGACCGGTGTAGAAAACCCATTCCCCAAAAGCGATCGGACCGATAGGATCATGCCCATTCTCGGACGGGTGTCACAGCTCGAAATCAAGATCACATATTCCGATTTTTGTTGCAGAACTCTATCACTTTGTTAACCACAGAAGCCATTTTTTTTTACGCCTTTTGGAAACATTTGGAAACTTGAAACGACATGGATGGCCTGGGGTTATGAAGCTGATGACCTCGAGACAACTTGAGACAACTGCTGTTTATGACAATCTCAGTGTGTCTCCCTTGACACACCAGTGTTTTACAGATGTTGGTGGGAACGATTTTGGGGTGCTCTGTTTTTGCTGCTCTCCAGCTTCAAATTGGTACTTATGGATGACCATGTCCAACTCCTAATATACCTTTTTATTTGCTCAAGTGACATGGAGAAATGAAGGCGGCGAACTTCTTCGCCGTTCAGAAAGATGAAAATGACCAGACGTCACATATTGAGCTGCACGGGAAAGTTCCACTTGAAGAATTGAGATGTGTCAACAGATGGCCAAGCATTGACAAGTCATAGGGTCCAGATGAGCACAAGGAAGATTCATTTAGTGACCTTTCTTCAAATTTGAATTCTAATAGCAGAGCCTGGAAAATTAGAAGCGCTCGCTTCAACTGTCTACTGTGGGTTTTGGCTGGTGAAAATTTCACCCAGTCTTTTGCCCGTCATGGCGACTTGCAGCCTGACTGGCGCCCGCCGGATTTTGCTGCACCGCTGGGTGAGGCCGAGACATCAAAATGCATAGATCTGCATCGCCGGTGTAACGAGGGCGCTCCCCTTGGTGCTTTCCGTGGTGTACAATGAAACACAGTAGAACTTCTTAGAAGCACTGTAGAACTTTGTCCCAGAAAGATGGAGTCACAAGACCATGTGAACCGGTAGATGACAGCTCGCATTGAAGGCAGCTTGGTGACAGCGTGCAAGGGCCACAGCTGATGGATTTGCCGGGGAATTGGCAAAAGGCAAAGGACTCGCCTGTCTGGGGGATGTTTTAGGGATTCCGATCCTTTGAGCTTTATATTGTTGAAGAGAACCCTGAAGAACCAAGGTCCGATTTTGTAATTAGCGTCTTCATGTCAGCACAATTTGAAACCGAACCCTAACCTTGACTTGAACTATCCATGCGACCAGAAGGAGGGACGAAACCTGCACGTTGCTACCGAAGGCTACTACCATCCAAGTGGGAAACAGAGGCTGTTAACCAATTAGAAACTGGCTGAAGCTCTTTGTGTTTAGTTCCATGGTCAGATGCTGCACTTGAAAATCGCCAGGAGTTCTTTACTAAGCCAGCTCTCTCATATGGACAGTACAAACAGCAATGCGTGTGTGGGCCTGAGACGAGTCTCATATCATAGGACGAAGTTCCACAGTTCGCCATGTTTGCGGTACACTTGAAGACTTGTGGACTAGAGTTGGCCCTACAAAATGAGGATTGGAAGCCTCTGTTTGGAAGATCCAACTTGACCCAGGTCGCTACGAATATTCGCTTTCAGCGGCATTTGTGGTGGGTGTGCTCGGTCCCCAGTGGTTTGAAGGTACGGCTGAAATAGATCTGGCGCAAATGATTGATCATACTGATCCCAGATTGAGTGGTTTGATACCAACATTGGGGGTCCTTTCTGGTTTTGGTCTCCCTGTTCTTGAGTTTTTGGCAAAATATAGGTTTCTCTCACAGCTTCCGCAAGTCTTGTTTCGGACCGGGTCCAAACAAGACAACTCGGTAGATTAATGCGCTTAGATCACCAAACAAACGCGAGTGTGGATCATTCAAGATTTATGGGTTTTTGGAGCAAGCAGTGACAATTGGTTTGTATGATGCTGTCAACCATCACTTGTGGCTTTTCACAGTCACCTCAACTGGGAGATTCCTCCAGCTACAGTCAGTATGTCCAGCTTCCAAGGTTCTTTCACTGGCAATGTTCCCACCGCCACTTGGTAAAGCTTTCCATTGCCAAAGGTAGTTGAGGTGATGTTGTATTTTGATTGATATTCAAGATTGCAATATTATTGGGCTCGCAAGTCTCTTGCCACTACCAACATCCTTGATGATGTGTTGACACCTTTTGTTTCATGAATGAAATGGGGCCAGAGTTTGACAGCTTTACAGCAGATGAACCTATGACCTCAGCAGTGTGCCTGGACGAGCTAGAACAGCATCAAGTTTTTGCCACTTACTGTCCAACAGGAATTGGCCGAATCTTCATCGGGGGAGATGCAGTGAACAATTGAACAATTGAACACACAATTGAACAACTTTAGACAACTTAAACATATAGATGTTCAAGTCTCTAAGGAAGTCATCATATTGGATCACCTGGAGTCCTTTGTACTGGCTGTCCTATGTCCCTCAGTTGCATCGTGCTGTTCGTGCCTTGAACGCACATCAATAAGATTCAATGAGTGTGAAGACTGGTGTGAACCACTCTGAATGGGAATCAAACGAATGTCCTTGAGATGTTCTGAGAAGAAAACTAATAACTATCTCCAAATCTATCGGTTTCGGTCTTTGGAATTCCTGTGAAGGCTGCTTCAACCAAGTATATAGGCACCTGGCTCATTTGTACCAAAATGTCCCACAACTGCTTTCGGATGCGAGGCTGCTGGTTCTTGCAGGATTGCCTTCGTCAAAGGAAGTTTAGAAGCCTAAACTCCGTGGCACGGAATTTTTGAAAGATACTAGTAAGAAAAAAGCAACCGCCAACAATACATCACCACAACAATACATCACCAGAACAATACATCACAACAACAATACATCACCAGAGCAATACATCACCACAATAATACATCACAACAATAATATATCACCAGAATCACCAGAACAATACATCACAAAAACAATATATCACAACAACAATACATCACCCCATCACCACATCCTCACATCACCACATCACCACATCACATCACATCACCACATCACCACATCACCACATCACCACAGCGAAGTGGGATTGCTTCGTCCAGTGATGCATGAAAGGGTAGGAATCGCACCAAACTCTATGTTTTCTCGCACAAAGTGCATCCCAGCAGCGATGTAGGGAACCTTGTCTGTGCGACGGGTGCGGTCTTCGCACGTTTTCTCTCGGATGCATCCTGCATTGCAAGGTTGAATTCAGGGGTGCAGATCGCACAGTAAGGGCGGCTTAATAGTTGTGATGATAGTCTTGGTGGACGGAGTTCCATTGTGACTTGCAAGGCAGTGAGTGCAGATCGCAGTGCAATTGCTTTGTTCTGGAAAGGTTAGGAATCGCACCAAACTCTATGTTTTCTCATACGACGTGCTGCTCGGCGGCGATAAGGGGAAGCTTGTTTGGGCGACGGGTGGGGCTTGCGTCCAGGCGCGTCCGGAATGGCTGTGCTTCATGTTCATGGTTGTGGTCTTGGGCACAGTTTTGTGGTGATTTGCAAGTCAACATGAGTCAACATCTGCAAATCGCAGTGGAGTGGCTGCGTCAAGGTTTGCAGCGGCTGTATAATACTTTGGTCTTTTGCTGAGCGTCGTAAATCGTATTGGACTGGCTGTATCAAGGTTGCGGCGGTGATTTGTCAGCAGACTCATCTCCATTTTGGCTTTGAAGATTCCTTGTGAAAAGTCTGAAAAGTGCTTCATTTGTGTTTGCTTTGGCGCCAAGATCCGGTTTTGGAGCTGCAAATTCCTGTGTATAAAAGCTTCTCTGTGTGCAAGGTTCCCTGTCAGTGTGAAAGCTTCTGTCTGTAAAAAGCTTCTGTGTGTAAAAGTTTCACTGTGTAAAACTTTTCTGTGTAAAAGCTTCTGTGTGCAAAAGCTTTTGTGAGCTTTTGTGTGTAGAAGCGTTTGTGTATAAAAGTTTCTCTGTCTGAAAGCTTTTCTGTCTGAAAGCTTCTGTGTCTTAAAAGCTTCTGTGTGTAAAAGCTTCTCTGCGTAAAAGCTTCTGTGTGCAACAGTTTCTGTGTTTAAAAGTTTCTTTCTGCAAAAGGCTTGTGCAAAGACCACAGGGAGACATGGAGTACTGGGAAGTATTTTGTGCAAGTCTTGTATTGCAAAGTAGTACTGGCCCGGGAAGTACTTTGTGGAAGTCTTGCAGGACAAAGTAGTACTGGGAAGTAAATTCTGTAGGCTTTGTGGTACAAAGTAGTACTGGGAAGTATTTTGTGCAAGCTTTATAGTAGGAAGTAGTACTGGAGGGTGCTTGCGCAAACTGTGTAGTTAGCACAAAATACTGGGAAGTACTTTGTGCAACCTTTGTAGTACAACACAGTACTGGGAAGTACCCTTGTGCAAGTCCTGTAGTACAAAGTAGTGTTGGGAAGTACTTTACAACTTTGCGCAAGTCTTGCAATACGAAGTAGCACTGGGAAATAAATTGTGCAAGCTTTGGGGTACGAAGTAGTACCGGGAAGTACTTTGCGCAAGCCTTGTAGCACAAAGGAGTACAGGAAGTACTTTGTGCCAGTGCAAGCGATGACATCAGAAAAACATTGTCAGGAGAGAAGAGTGTGTCAAGTCTCGGGCTTCAGAGCTGTCAACAAGCAGGGCAGTCAAGATTCAGAGATGTCAGGACCTGATCAATAGAAAGTGGCATCATCAGAAAAGGATGTCGAGAGAAAGAAATGTCAAGGGCAAACAAAAAGTTCCCAGAGATCATGCAGTCAACGGCTTTGACAACCAGGGGGTCAGGCTTCGTTCCTATAGGCTCCCCCTTTTCTTTGTAGGCTTCTCCCCCTTTCGAAACTTCCGTCACCCGGCTTGGAATCTGAGCAAAGAAATTGGCGCAAGGCTTGACAAGGCGATGCTTTGCCGTTAACGGGACCCTAACCTGCTAAATAGTTACATGGAACCTCGCTTACATGGGCAACTTCTTAGAGTGACTGTGCGCGCGCAAGGAAGTTACTTTGAGGCAATAACAGGTCTGTAATGCCTTGAATGTCCTGGGCTGACGCGCCCTGCAATGACGCGCTCAACAAGCTGCACGTGCGCTACACTGATGCACTCAACGAGTTTACGATCTTGCCTGAAATGGCTGGGTGATCTTTAAAAATGCATCGTGATAGGGATAGATCATTGTAACTATTGATATATTTTGATCAACGAGGAATTCCTAAGCGCGAGCCATCAGCTCCCTGAGAAGTCATGCCAGGCGAAGCAATGCTTCACAGGTGCAGCTCCACCGCTTTTTCTCGAGAAACAGCACGGAGCACAAGTCGCGGCTCTCCTCAGGCCCAAAGGGCCGATCGATTCCATGAGACGCAAGCCCTGTCCAGTGCCGAAGTGACTTTCTTGTTACCTGCGATAATCACTTCACACATTCTTGAGAAAAGATCTCCAGTCTCACAAGGTACCTCAGTCAGCCTTAGTCCTTAAGTATGGATCTTGGAAGTGGATTTGGTATTGCTGCCAGAAGTATTTGCACGGCTACAACTCCAACTGCAAGTATCTCAGCTCCCCGAAACCAAAATGCCCAATTTTGAGATTGTTACCAGTCATCACAGCCAGGCCGGAAACACAGGCACCACCGAGCTGGAAGGGAGAGGGGGTCTGTGTTAGCCCTTGCACTTGGAATTCATTCATGCTTCATGATAGCTTGGTTAAAAAGCACCGTGTTTGATTCTTGGATTTCTTCTCGGTACCGAACCCATCCATCTGAAATTCATCCAGCTTTGCTGCAGGTTCCTGCCGATCATTTGAGACGTTTGATTTTTTTTCCCCACAACTTTGTGTGGGGTTCTTGTTTTTGCCTGCGGACCGAAAACCGTTCCCGTAAAACGCGCGTTTTTGAATATCGCGATTGTGGGTTGGGGTGGGGGGGTGGGGTGGGGGGGCATGTTAACGTTCCTTTTACTTCGTACATGATATATTGCCATGCTGCTAAGATCTCTGGGATCGTTTACTACGTGACATGTTGCTACGCTGCTGAGGTCTCTAGTGTGGGTTGGGGTGGGGTGGGGTGGGGTGGGGGGGCATGTTAACGTTCCTTGTACTTCGTACATGATATATTGCCATGCTGCTAAGATCTCTGGGATCGTTTGCGACGTTACATGTTGCTACGCTGCTAAGATCTCTGGGATCGCTGACTACGTGACATGTTGCTACGCATGCGTTGCAGCGATGACGCTGAAAAGCCAAAAAACGCGCCCCAAGTTTTTCCAGGATTTCCAATCATCAAATCAGCACGGCACTGTGGTAAAATCACATTTAAAAAAAAAAAAACATGCGTTTTATGGGAACGGTTTCCGGTCCGGCGGGTTGTTTTTGATTCTGTATCCCGGGCTCCTTCTCCTCCTCCCGCTCCTCCCGCCTCCTTACACAATAACTTCACACACAAACTTAACATACAATAACTTCACATACACAAACTTAACATACAATAACTTCACACACACACACTTAACACACACACAAACTTAACATACAATAACTTCACACACACACAAACTTAACATACAATAACTTCACACACACACAAACTTAACACACAATAACTTAACACACACAAACTTAACATACAATAATTTCACACACACACAAACTTAACACACACAAACTTAACACACAATAACTTAACACACACAAACTTAACATACAATAATTTCACACACACAAACTTAACACACACACACACAAACTTAACATACAGTAAATTCACACACACACACAAACTTAACATACAATAACTTCACACACACACAAACTTAACACACACAAACTTAACATACAATAACTTCACACACACACAAACTTAACACACACAAACATAACCACACAAACTTAACATACAATAACTTCACACACACAAACTTAACACACACAAACTTAACATACAATAATTTCACACACACATTCACATACACAAACTTAACATACAATAACTTCACACACACAAACTTAACACACACAAACTTAACAGGTCGTTTTGCGTGGCACGTGGCACTTGGTGACATCCACCTTGATATCACGTGGCAGGCGTGGCACGAACTCACCGCCACCGTCGTTTTGCGTGGCAGGCGTGGCACTTATGGTACTGGGTGGCGCGCTTGCACTTGGTGACATCCACCTTGATATCACGTGGCAGGCGTGGCACGAACTCACAGCCACCGTCGTTTTGCGTGGCAGGCGTGGCACTTATGGTACTGGGTGGCGCGCTTGGTCTTGATTTAGGCGCCCGTGACGCCCGTGACGCCGCGCCACTTCTGCGTGGCAGGCGTGGCACTTGGTGATATCCCCCTTGATTTCACGTGGCAGGCGTGGCACAATCGCACATCCACGGTCGTTTTGCGTGGCAGGCGTGGCACTTGGTGACATCCACCTTGATATCACGTGGCAGGCGTGGCACTTATGGTACTGGGTGGCGCGCTTGGTCTTGATTTAGGCGCCCGTGACGCCCGTGACGCCGCGCCACTTCTGCGTGGCAGGCGTGGCACTTGGTGACATCCCCCTTGATTTCACGTGGCAGGCTTGGCACAATCGCACATCCCCGTCCCCGCTACAACCTTTGAAGCTCATTATTGGAAGAAGTTGACTTGTGGGGTTATCCGGTCCTTTAATTATCCGAGCACAGTGCCAGGCTCCGGCACCAAGCGACACCGACGTTTCCACAGTGGCAGTCGCACCGGCGCCGGCTGCCACGACCACAGCCACCTCCGCGGCCTCCGCATCTCCGTGCTCCGTGGCTTCATCGGCAAGCGCCACGGTGCTCGCCGCGCCGGCGAAGCCCCGCGTGGTGTTCGTCCTCGGAGGACCTGGTGCAGGTCACTTGGAGAAAAGGAAGGACCAATTCCAGACCCATCCAGGCCCATGCAGATTCCGACACTGGGAAAAATGACTGAAAATGACAGTTCTACACACGTACCCCCAGGTTTGCCCCCCCACGCACCAGTTGCACTAATTACCTTCTCAAACATGTTCTAGACGGGGAACAATACAACAACTCTATTTGGGTTCACATGAGGTCTAGGGTCTTGGGTTGACCATGATAATCATCATCGTCCCAAATGCTTTTTGAAATTCCAGGCAAACCCCAGGGTCTCTGTTTTGTTGCTCTGCGGGTTGTAGTACTAGGTTCTGAGGCTCTGAAACTTTTCGTACCACTTGGACCGAAAGGCTTACATTTCCAAAAATTTATCGTTCCATCGGCACCATCCTTCCTGAACCCAATTAACAATGCACATCACTAACTGGAACCTAAGATCCCATTAGAGGATCTCATCCCAAATCTGCAAACAGATGTAAAAATGACTTTTAACGATTGTTATTGACAAATAACCCATGTTCAGCTGAGGCAAAGGCACACAATGCCGCTTGGATCGAAGATTGATCGTTTTCGATTCATGGGGAGGACCGATAGGGCAGCTGAACCATTGATGAAGCCGGAAGAAGAGGAATGACTTTCTGAGCCGCAGGAGCGGAGGAAATTCATGTTTACATACTTCCTACGCATAGTGCCCTTGAAGAGTTATCAGTTCTTTAGCAGGGTCCTGCCAGCGTTTTATTCCCATGTGCCTAACTGAGTGCTTCGATAAAGGACATGGATATTAAAGGTTAAGATGGTTGCTTTTGCTTTCTGGTTGCAAGTTTCAACAGGTCCAAAGATTGATGCGTTTGAATGAGGTTCTTGCCATTGATTGGGAAGAGGGCGTCAAACGGAATCTGCTTGGGCCGATTTCTGTCTAATAGCTCTACCTCGGTTTGGTGTTCCTTCTTTCAGAAGGATTGGCGGGGGCTTTCATGATACATACCGTACCCATTTCATGTGATTGAACTTGCAGGCACCACCTCTAGGAATATAGCAATATAGTGTCTTGGTGCCGATCCAATTGCTGCAAACGAATTCTTGCCAGCAACCAAAGATGCCCTTCCAGTGAGACTTATGACATGGTATCGATGTGTTGCCCCATGAAGCAAGGCTTCTGCTTTGCTGGCAATCAACAAGTAGGCCTTGTGCTAGGAGATGCGCAGTGCCAGCAAGGCTTATGAAAGATGAAAAGGAGAAGAAAGTGGAAATTGCCTTTTCTCGTTTTTTCAATTTCCCCAACCTCTATGAACTTTTCCCGTCAGAATCACGTCCACAGAGGTGCAAAAATTTGTGACGCGTACCCGCAGTGGCAGCACATCTCTGCCGGGGACTGTTTGCGTGCAGAACGGCAAGATCCCAATTCCAAGGACCTGACTGGTCCCCAAAGTGGGATAGGAAAGAAATAGAATTCATAGCGAGCTCACATGATTTCACAATGCAACTTGTATGGGTGACAGCTTTGACATCCACCATGGCTTCGTTTAAAGTGTGCAAACAGGAAAACAGCGAGCAATGGCAGAAAGGTGGGACCTCTTAGGCATGTTCAAGAATTGTGCGATGCTGACTGCTGAAGGACGGGGAATTGATCAACTCTTATATCAAGGACGAGCTGGGTGCATTCTGAAAGTTTGGTCGAGCAAGATGATACAATAGGGAAATCCATCCTGGGAACATTGGGCTTTCATAAAGTCCAACCAAGTCTGGAAGATTGATGGTCAGATGCATATTGACTGCGACAGGTATTCATAAAGACGGATAATTTACGAATTACTAGGTGTGATTGGATAGTAGGGAAGCCTCGAAATATGTGAAGGTACTCAAATGCATATTATATAAGTTCTTTGAAGCGTATTTACACGGATAGGGTCTCCAAGCTCTGCTTCAAGGATCCGTTCCACGTAGCTACTGGTTGGTAAGTGAGGCTAGAACCCACCTATGAATGTGACAGCCCCGGTTACTTGATCAAAGGAAGTTGGGAAGCAATCTTCCGAGTTACGGACAAAGTGAAAAGCGGTGCCTAAGAGAAGTGATGACTTCGGGAAGCGGTGACTTAGGGAAGCGGTGACTTAGGGAGGGGGTGACCTAGAGAAGAGGTGACTCAGGGAAGTGTGCTTATGGAAGTGGTGACTGAGGAAAGTGGTGACTGAGGAAAGTGGTGACCTAGGGAAGCGGTGACTTAGGGAGGGGGTGACCTAGAGAAGAGGTGACTCAGGGAAGTGTGCTTATGGAAGTGGTGACTGAAGAAAGTGGTGACTGAGGAAAGTGGTGACTTAGGGGAAGCGGTGACTTAGGGAGGGGATGACCTAGAGAAGAGGTGACTCAGGGAAGTGTGCTTATGGAAGTGGACTGAGGAAAGTGGTGACTGAGGAAAGTGGTGACTTAGGGAAAGCGGTGACTTAGGGAGGGGGTGACCTAGAGAAGAGGTGACTCAGGGAAGTGTGCTTATGGAAGTGGTGACTGAGGAAAGTGGTGACTGAGGAAAGTGGTGACTTAGGGAAGCGGTGACTTAGGGAGGGGTTGACCTAGAGAAGAGGTGACTCAGGGAAGTGTGCTTATGGAAGTGGTGACTGAGGAAAGTGGTGACTGAGGAAAGCGGTGACTTAGGGAAAGCGGTGACTTAGGGAGGGGGTGACCTAGAGAAGAGGTGACTCAGGGAAGTGTGCTTATGGAAGTGGTGACTGAGGAAAGTGGTGACTGAGGAAAGTGGTGACTTAGGGAAGCGGTGACTTAGGGAGGGGTTGACCTAGAGAAGGGGTGACTCAGGGAAGTGTGCTTATGGAAGTGGTGACTGAGGAAAGTGGTGACTGAGGAAAGTGGTGACTTAGGGAAGCGGTGACTTAGGGAGGGGGTGACCTAGAGAAGAGGTGACTCAGGGAAGTGTGCTTATGGAAGTGGTGACTGAGGAAAGTGGTGACTGAGGAAAGTGGTGACTTAGGGAAGCGGTGACTTAGGGAGGGGGTGACCTAGAGAAGAGGTGACTCAGGGAAGTGTGCTTATGGAAGTGGTGACTGAGGAAAGTGGTGACTGAGGAAAGTGGTGACTTAGGGAAGCGGTGACCTTGGGAAGTGGTGACTTTGGGAAGGGGTGACTTTGCGAAGTGGTGACTTTGGGAAGCAGTGCTCAGATGAGATGAAGGGAGTTTAGAAAAACTTAGATGACATCTGCGAAGAGATGACGAGATGAGATGAGATGAGATGAAGTGTGGAGCGTGGAGTGTGAAGTGTGACCTTTGGAACGCAAAGTGTCCCTTGCCGTTGCATTGCAACGTGGTCATGCGCAGGTCATGTTCTTGGACAACAACAGGTTCGCACAAAGCACGCACGCACGGGCCGCTGGCGCACGGCGCATACAAGTTTTATAGATAAAAAAGGTCTTATAGTGTAAGCCTAAGGCAACTTCCGCGCCGCCTGGTGGGGGGCACCGCTGGTAACCAGGCTTGGTCGCCACTTACTAAGCAGGATGATCCTCAAAGTGGTGGAAGTTCAAACCAGCGTTGTCATGTCTCAACAAGCAGAGCGGCGCAAATGCGTGTCGTTCAGCAACTTCCTTGGCTCAGGAAAAGGTTTCGAAGAAAAGATTGGGGTACCACAAGAATTGGATTTCTTGTTGCTAGATGGTGAATTTCTGGGTTAGCACCTGACAACCAGAAGAACAACACCTCGCGTCCCCCAAGGTTTGGCTAACACCTAGTTTTAGGTCAAGGTTATTTGCTAAACCCGGGCCAAACCAGTGACTTCGGGCAGGATGGAAAGATTGTTCCTGTGCAAATCACCGTCCGTTTGTTGCACAAGGCTTTGGGCCGTGGCAGGTGGTGCTTCAGGAGTTGCAGTCCTGAAACTGTTCGCCGGTCTACGGAATAGTGATGTAGAACCTCACGTGTCACTATGGGATTTGCAAACGCGAAACACCAATACTGGAAACCTATGGAAATCTTGAAGCTTGCGCTTTTATCACGATTCGAAAAACTTTCAAGATTCAAGAGTGCAGCATTGCAGGCTTGTGGATAGGCTACAGGGAGATGGAATTGTCATTCCCACTATGGTCACATAGAAGGTACTTGTTGATTTTGAGCTGAATCAATGGATGTCAGGATCTGTCTAGACAGTCATTGCCACCAGATCGCTACAGAAGCATGATGATAGGCAGTTTCCTTGCTGTGGAATCCGCATTTTATCTCTCATCATGTTCGCTACATAGGGCTTTTCAGTGAAAGCCTTGGTGCCTGCAGGCTATGCAAAAAGGACAAAAGGAAGGAAAGACAGATTTTCTGATCGATGGATTCCCTCGAAATTGGGACAATGTGCCTGCCCCAGCTAAAATATAAGCTCAGATCCGATAGGGGCATTTGCTTGAGGAGGTGGTAGATGGACACCAGATCCAAACCTTTGAAAAGAGACCCCAAAGACTTCAGCTTTGTTTTCAATGGAAAATATTGATTTGGTCATTCCTTTGCTCACTGTGATAACTTGTTTCTCCGACAATTCGGTTTGTCACTTCAAGACTGGAAGCCTGTGACAACTGGGGCAGTGGATGATGAACGAACACAGCTCCATTGGACCTGGACTGTTACTACCACAATTAGCCAGCATGTTTGCTGCTGCTTTTGAAATCTCGTCTCTGTAAGAAGCGTCTTGGTAGCCACGGCCACAGCCCCAAGAAATGTGATCCGAAGTTGCATCACATCCACACACAGATGCAGGACTCTGCTTCAGTTTTCTTGCTATACCTTGGTTTGCATGAAAACTGGCTGCGATTGCAATAAATGACAGGAGGACTAGCTTGAACTGTGAGCTTTGCGGCCAACATGTTCAGCCAATGTTGGGCTTCCTTGTTCTAAGACCTTCCTTCCTGTATTTATTTGTGCTATTCAGATCTTTGCTTTTCAGCCAAGGTCAATGGCTGGGAGGAGGTCATTGGTGACTCCGCCGAAGTCATGGGAGTGCCATGTCCAAAATCCTGGGCTAGGGAAGCTCTGCGGGCCACGGCCACATTCCATCTGTGTTTCGCACAAAAGGGGTAGGACTTGAGCTCTTTGTGTTGACTTGTGTTGACTTGAAATATGGAAGATCAGGTTCGATTAGGCAGGCCCAGGCTCTCTTTTCTGGATCCATCAACTGGTTCCTAATTCCTGACTGTCGCAATGCGCCCTTGTTGCATTTGGGCGTTGCACAGGTGCTGTTTTTCGAAGCATCGCTAGCAGAGATGGAGTTTCTTGGTGCAGGTTGTGTGTCCGGTCTGACTTTTTGTGCCTTTGGTCAGGCTGAAGGTTTGGTTTCTGAATATTTCTTCAAGAGTCTGTAAGCATCATGCCTGTCATGGACTCAGGGACGGATCGGTTTTCTCGGGTGATTGTGTTTGTGCTTCTGACTTCAAGACTGACTTGTGATTGTACAAGATATGTCAATGTATATTTTTCATTGGATGTCTCAAGATATCTCAGTGGTTGCTGTCGCGTTTGTGATTGTTTTGCTTTCAAATGCATCCAAAGTTTGGTAGCCCAACATTTCCTACTTTTGAAACTTATAGACATGAAAACAATGAAACTTGAAGCGTTGCTTTTTTTTCAGAGTCTTCTGCCCGCTTTGAAGTTGAAATGAAGCATTGCTCAGGAAACGACTCTTGGGGCGTTCCGTCACCAGCAGCTGGGCCCATTGGGGATTTCCAGGACATTGCTATGGCAAATTATGGCAAGACTATTGCAAAGCTACGGCGATTTTGATCAATTTTGTTCGAAAGTGACCATGTTTGATCAATGCTTGATCAAAGGCCCCAAGTGTTGGGGAGCTTCAACTTGATCAATTCACACCTAAGACATTTGAGACCCAAACCAATGATGCCAATTATCAACGCACAAGTTTCCACCTGGTCAGCACCCATCGGGTACCTCTTGAATCTTGAATAAGATCAACCGCAAGAATTTCGTCGGACAAACTAGCGACTAGCGACGACATGTTTGACGACGATTTCAATGGGAGTTCAAAGGTGCAGCTAAAGAAGCTGTATAAGCAGGCCATAGCTGCAGTCTGCAAACTTTGCAGTTTAAGTTAGGGGAGAGGAATGCAAATGTCGTTCGGGCTAAACCACAAAGTCACTTGCAGTGGTCCCTTGAACTGGCAATCGAGAATTGCAATATCAAATTTCCAACTCATCATTGCGATTGTTGACTCCCAGTTTTCTCTTCTGTGAACGGATTTCTTGGTGACTAACTAGTGGCAGCTTGACAGAGAATGAGGTGGTCGGGTGGACGACAACCTTGAGAGCATTCGAAAACGTTTTGCGACTTACGAAAAGGACAGCTTCCCAAGTGGTCAGTTCTTAGAAAGCTTAAAGCAACTACTCGACAGGACAGGCTGACAAGACGTGGGGACTTTCAAGAATCTCAGCTTTTCACTAGCGAAGCTAGAACACCCCGGGAAAATTCCAGAGATCGCATTAGTTGAATGGAGTGCTACAGGTACTACTACTTACTTGGTTGGCCAAATTGTTACAAACTTTGCCATTGTGTTTGAGGTGGCTTGGTAATGGCTTCGGGCAATTTGATTTTTGACGCTTAAAGAATTGGGCAACGATCCCGCCGGATCGGCTTCCCCACTCCCCACTTCTTTGAACAGAGTCATTTGGTCGCTTCCAAAGCGTGAGCAAGCTGCAGGAGACAAAGCCGATTCTCGAGAAGTACCAAAAGGAACACAAGGTTTTCAAAATTGATGCTATGCAGTCGGTTGATTTTGCTTCTTGGCCGAGAAGCGACCCATAATTTTAAATTAGCATGACACCCAAACATGGATCAAACTACAAGCCCTTGGGTTCTAAACGAATATTTTCTGATATGTGTATACACGAATATGCATGATGCATGTACAAATATTTTTGCATATACATATGCGTATGCATATGCATCTACATATACATAGACATATATGCGTGTACAAATTCATGTTCATGTACATGTACACAGACAAAAAGCTTTTCTTTTACATGTCTATATCTGGCTCTTCGCTCTTGCTACCAAGCAGTCATTACCGTCAGTCTTTTTTGCGCTCCAAGGTTTGGGCCCACACCCAAACAAAGCTTCGAGAAGTCGTACCTTGCCAGCAGGTGTAGTCTGGTGGGCCACATCCGTCTCAAATTTATTTGCGGCTTAAGGGACACATTGTATTCATTGGCATTGCAAAATGCGATTTAGAGCCCTTAGGAAAGTTGGACATGAAAATGCACTTTACATATATATATATTATGTATATCTGTTCATATACCGATCTTTATACCCATTGCATATCTGAGGAAACTGTCGCGAAATTCGGCCCTTGATTCAGCAATAAATATAAATATGTCAATTTACATTTTTCCCCAAACAGAGTGTCCGCACTGAGCGGTTCTTACGGTAAGTGTAAAGGCCGGTGCTTGATCAGGGTGCTCCAGCTCGGCCCCAGCATTTTCCTTTAAATTTCTGCGTTAAGTGGCTCTTGTGAAATCTCCAAGTGTATTTTGATTACGCAGACTCGCACAAAGTTTGCGGCGTAAGATTTGCTTGCTCTTCGTCTGCGGCCTTTTACTTGAAATTTCTGTGTAAAGGGGCTCTTGCGAAACCTCCCAATACATGCGACTGCGCATGCTCTACCTGCGGGCCTGGACTCGGATATTTTTTTCTGTAAATTTCCGTAAAAAGTGGCTCTTGTGAAATCTCCAAGTACATACTGGTATCGATTGCGCAGCTTGTACAAAGTATTTATCTGCATTTTGATATGAAAATTTCCGTATAAAAAATATTTACAATTAAAAATGGACCTAGAATTTAATTATTCTTAGATGGATTTATAAATACAAATTAACTATTAAGAATCCATATATTTAAATATATTTGAATATTAACTACTTATTTTGTTTAATTAAATTATGATATATTTTTTATTAATATTCAATTTTTAAATTAAGGAAATTAAAATATATTTAATAATATATTAAATTAGTTATATTATAATGTATAATTTCTAAATATAATAATTTCGAAAATATTTATATATATCCCTGTGTGTAATCCCTGTGTGTAAAAGGAGCTTTTACTCCTACGAGAGAGTTGGCCTTGCAGACGTCGTCGGCGGTGAAGGAAATTGGCAAACACATGAATGTCCAATGCATGGTCTCAACAGGCGGCACAAGCCTTCGAGAGGACATTATGCGTTTGTACAATGAGGTCCATGTAGTGGTGGCTACCCCAGGTCGTGTTCTCGACCTTGCCAACAAGAATGTGTGCAACTTGAAGCAGTGCCACATGGTTGCTATGGATGAGGCTGACAAGCTTCTCTGCCCCGAGTTCCAGCCTATCATTAAGGACCTCATCAAGTTCCTGCCTCAAGAGAGGCAAATCCTGATGTACTCGGCCACGTTCCCGATGACCATCTTGGACTTCAAGAATCGATTTATGGCCGAGGCGCATGAGATCAATTTGATGGACGAGCTTACCCTCAAGGGCGTGTCCCAGTACTATGCTTTTGCGGAGGAGCGCCAGAAGGTTCACTGCCTCAACACCTTATTTGCCAAGTTGCAGATTAATCAGGCAATCATTTTCTGCAACTCCGTGACGCGTGTGGAGTTGCTTGCCGAGAAGATTACAGAGCTTGGCTTCTCATGCTTCTTCATCCATTCGCGCATGTACCAGTCTCACCGGAATCGTGTTTTCCATGACTTCCGGAACGGAGCTTGCAGATGTTTGGTCTCTTCGGACCTTTTTACCAGAGGCATTGACATTCAGAGTGTGAACGTGGTGATCAATTTCGATTTCCCCAAGAACTCCAAGACCTACCTGCACCGCATTGGCCGCTGTGGCCGCTTTGGTCACCCGGGCTTGGGCATCAATTTTGTCACATACGATGACCGCTTCAACCTGTACCGCATCGAGAAAGAGTTGGGCACAGAGCTCCAGCCTATCCAATCTACCATTGGATAGGCTGGAGCTCTGTGCCCAGTCTACCATTGACCTTGCTCCAGTAGAGACTTGGTTCAACTTGCCCGTGAGAGATGGTTGATGATGGGATGGTGGGAAAAAAAACGGTCAGAAAATAGTGATGTCACTGAGGAAAGATTGTGTTTTTAAGTGTGCAAAACGGGATGATGGTGTGGGATGTCGCTATTTTGGTGGAATTCATCATGACCTGAAATTGGTTCAAAGACGATACACTTGTTCTATGATGTTTATACGACTTCAAAATTCGGAATTTCCAGACTTCACCATCCAATCCATATTCCTTTCCACTTTCCCTTCAAAATCATCCAGCCTCATTCCTCAACCGCCATCCCCCATCCAGTGAGGACACCGTAGTGGACACCTTTGGGGAACACTTCAAGAACCAGCAGAACCAGGCCCTCATCGATGTGGACCCCACCACCTTCGAGACGCTGGAGCTGCCGCATGAGGCGTCCACATGGCCGCTGAGCTTCCACGATGACTTGAAGCCAACTGCTTCAAGTCATCGTGGAAGCTCAGCGGCCACGTGGGTGGCAAGCCTATGTGCTGCAGATGCAGGAGCCCAACGGGATCATAGGATGGTGAACTGGATAAAAACTGGATATCCCATGAAAGAAAGCCCAACTATGGTCCTGTTTGGATGAGGGGGTTGGATAGATATGTGGATGTTGATCATCCTATTCAGGAGATGTGAGCCATTGAAAATAGCATTGGTGATTGGTATTTTCGAGGCGGTTACACTACCTAATTGATAGTGGATCATGATATCCCAGAACCATTGTTTATGTGAATTTCTTTAAGAAAAAACGTTTTTGTTGATGTTAAATCCCCATTGACGAAGGTTTGAATCTCTGCTACAATCCTCCCTTCCCCATTAGCCACTGGTGGCGGAAGAGCCCCCCAGGAGACCTACACGGCCTATGCGATAGCTGCGGTCAGCAAGCTCACGAGCAACAGGCAGGGCCTGAAATGACCTGGACGCCCAAGGCCTGAAATGTTGCCATGCGATCCACCCTGTTGGTTGATGATTTTTATTTGGGGGAACATACTAACCTATACCTTGGGGATAGTAATATTCCACCAGCGGAATCCCTATTCATCATCCAGTACAAAGGCATGACAGAGGCTTTTGAGCACTGCCACTTGGCTTTAAGATTACAATTATTTCAGCTGGCGTTTAAGATTCTTAGCCAGACCAAATTCAAAATGCTGCTGAAATCCTGCAGGTGATGCAGCAGATGGCAATGCAACAACAGGCCATGATGCAGCAGCAGATGCAGATGGGCATGGGACAGATGGGCCAGATGGCTCCTATGCAAAGCCCTTGGGTTATCTACCACACTCAGCAAGGGCAGCCCTACTACTACAATGAGCAAACAGGCCGGGACTGCAGAACTCAAACTCTGCTTGCGATTTCCAACATGTTTCAGGACACAAGTGCAGATGGAAATTGTGAATCCGTGTTTTTTCCCAGCTTTCTCATGTCCATGGACAGAGCAACCATTCCACTGCTGAAACGCTCTAAGAGTCCTCAAAGTCCAAGGTGGTCCAACTATTCCCATAGCATCAAACAGCAAGGGAAGCATCCTTTGAGCCTTGGGAAAATCATTAGGGGATTGTCCGAAAATGGGAGATGCCCCCAACATGGTCACTTCAATAGGAAAAATGACGATCAACCACCAAATTTGGTCATGCCCTATTTTTCAGACCCGTTTTTGGTTGGTTTCTGATAGCCATTCAGCATTTCTTGTTGGCTTCTTCTCGGATCAAATATCCGCCCTGGCAGGTGAACAAGTGTTGCAGCCCGGCAGGGCAATGCTCCTGGTGGCTACAACATGGCCAAGGCATGAATCAGATGTGGTCCGCAACACATGCATATATATGCATGTGTTGCGGACCACATCTGATTCATGCCTTGGCCATGTTGTAGCCACCAGGAGCATTGCCCTGCCGGGCTGCAGGTGGCACCGGGCGGAAGTTGCAACATGGCCAGGGCATGAATCAGATGTGGTCCAACCAGATGCAACAAATGCCATATGGCTACCAGCAGACCTGGTATGGCGAGAGATGATTAGATATCTGGAAGAGTTCAGAGGGCTTGTCTTTCAAAGCACGCGGCGCTCGCGTGCGCAGTGGCCCACCGTGTTCTACACAGCTTGTGCTGACGCGAGACGCGAGCTTTGGGTTCAGACGTTTGGTGATTCAGTTGCGAAGGGGAATGTGATCTCCCCAGTCTTTCCGCGATTAAACTACTGATTCCATGGAAGCTTCGTTTTCCAGGAAATATGAGCGTTTCGGGATAGTGTTTAAACCTCGCTTTGACCATGTATACATCGCATGTCTCCAGAACAACTGATGAGCCCGTTTGCACCGACGCGCACACAGTGTGTAGTTGTATATATTTCAACCGACAAACTCCCTGACGCCGCATAAGATCGTTTTGAAAAGATGGGCCTGGCGATGGACCTTGCGGGTTTTTTGTGGGTAGCTTGGGATCCTTTCCAGTTGGAGGAGGGCAGGATCTGCTCCATGTTGGAATGCAGCAGCAGTGATGGCTCAAATTTCAGCAGGTGCATTCTGTGGAAACATTCAAGAGCTGCATGGGGTGGTCCGCTCATGTAATTAAGGACTAGCACATTCCAGGCGCAGGGATTAACATCTTTTTCGGGGAGGTACTCGTAGTTGCTGACCATGCAGTCGCTTGTGGCCCAGATTTCCAAGCGTTCCATCATGATTGATGCATATTTCTTGGGCTGGGAGACCCCAAAAGCCAACTTTTCCCTGAAAAATCGATTGCTGTGGGACCCCTCCAACTCCCCATGGACATGACATGACAGGCATTGAGCTCGTGTGGCTCATGCTATGGACCTGGCCGTGATCGACAGCCTTTGGATTCAGTGTTGGTGAGTTTGTTTGACGTGAGCCCGCTGGGCGATGCCGATCCGGAGGCAGGGAGCCCAAGAGAAAATAGCAAAAAACAAGAGAGAGAGAGACTTCAGAGAGACCATATTTGGTCAAAATATTTTGAGAGATCCAGGTGTTTTTTTGCAATATGTTATCTATGAATTCGGATGGATTTGGCGTTGTACTTCAGAAATCCGAAGATGTGCGGGAACTGAGATCATGAGAGTCTGAAATAAATTGGCAGTTTCAATCATGTAGTTTTCTTACCCTGCATGTCGAAAGAGAACCTCAATCGAGCGTCAGATTGTTTCGGCGGTTGTTCTTCCAGTGCATGTTTTGTGCAAGGTTTGATGGAGCCATATCCATCCATATCCCTGAAATCCAGCATAAGAACATTCCCCAAACATCCCCAAAACCAGATAATCTCCTTGGAAATGGCCATTGAGTCAAAAGACATTCGACACGGGGATCCGTGTCACGACATTTCCCTCAGGCCATTCGAGGTACCCAGCGGGGAACCAGATTTTTGCATGAAAGGCGGATTGAAGAAGCAATCCGCGAGTTTCATAGCGTCTGCAACCGGGTGCCCAGGACCAACTATTACCAGCTGATGAAGTTTGAAAAATTGAAGGGACATTTTACACTTGAAACCACGTTCTATGGTTCCAATATGCTTCCCTGTCAATCATGACAGCCTTCCCTTCAACCAATCGAGATGTGGGAAGAGGATGAACTTGTATGACGTTAGGGTGCATTTTGCGTCATTTTGTAAGAGATTGGCAAAAGCAGTTCAGAACGTTCCCTAGTTAGTCTCTAGTTGGAATGGCTGGGAAGCTAGTGCAACATCCTCGAGTTCCGACGCACAAGCAGTATAATCGGGAAGATGTGAGGCCGCTCGAAGCCAAAATTGAAAGAATTTCAATTTTCTGTTTCTTACAGTATTGAGATGGATCAGGGAAGATCTTGAGTGATTTAAGGCTTTTACGAGTAGGTTTGATCTCGAGTTTGCTTGAAGCAAGCTGGGACGCAAGAGAATTGCATCAAAAACGGTGGCGCTTGAGAATCCAAACAGTTTCAATGCAGGCCGACAGCTTGACCAATGAGTCAAACATGGCAGAGGTTCACAGGAAAGCAGATACAGTATTATAGTAATCCCCAGTAAGATAGACGCGTAAAAAAGTCCGAAAAAAAAGTGGTCACAAAGGACTTTTCTGTTTTTGTTGGGGCATCGGTATAATCATAAAAGAAACAACATACCAGGTGAATTTCATGGAAATGTATGGAAATGTGCAGCACCCCGAGTTCCCTCCAGGAATGCTGCTGCACGTACCAACTTGGGCAGCGCCTATTTTGAGCGTGGCGATGAGGATGCGGCCTTGCATTGGTTTCGGTACGCCTATCGTGGCTGGGCAGACGCTCCGGAAGTGGTGGTATTGTTGGAGGAATCTGAAATGGAGGCATACCCGTGTACCCCAAAATCATCCAAGTCACTGCTTTTGATCAATGGGAAAAAACAATGTTTGGGTTCCTGTATTTTAGGAAACCCCAAATTCAAGGTTTGGATGTGAATGTGCGGAATGATTTTGAAGAATGTCGTGGAGCATCCTCAATTCCAACTACTATAACAATCATTGGATATCATTATGGAATATTATTTATCAATATAATTGGCAAGTTTGGCCGCCCATTGTCATTTGATGAACCCATGTTTTTGATCCTGACCCCTGACACACACACAAAAAAAAAAATGTTGCTTGAAATGCCTGGAATGGTTAGGCCCTGTCTTTGGTGATCAGGCAATGGAATCCACACGATTTTAGTGAGAAATATTTTGCGGATGGACATGCAATGGGTATTTGTCCCAGCGATGAAGCTTAGGTTGCGATCGAGTAGACCACAATTATAAATGTCGCTTCAACCTAATTATATGTTTAATTTATATTTATTGCGTGAGGTTTTACCTTCAGGAAAAATTGAACCCGAAGGTAAAATAGAGGTTATATACGGGTTACCCCTCGACCTTTTTCCCGAGAGCGCCTGCGAAGGGTTCTTCGTAAAAAAGCAGCCGTTATACTACATCTTCACACCTTCACACCTGCAGATCTAGATCTTCACACCTTCACACCTGCAGATCTAGATCTTCACACCTTCACACCTGCAGATCTAGATCTTCACACTCTCACATCTGCCGATCTACATCTTCACACCTTCACATCTGCTGATCTACATCTTCACACCTTCACACCTGCAGATCTAGATCTTCAGACCTTCACACCTGCAGATCTAGATCTTCACACCTGCAGATCTAGATCTTCACACCCTCACATCTGCAGATCTAGATCTTCACACCCTCACATCTGCAGATCTAGATCTTCACACCCTCACATCTGCCGATCTAGATCTTCACACCTTCACATCTGCAGATCTAGATCTTCACACCCTCATATCTGCAGATCTAGATCTTCACACCCTCACATCTGCAGATCTAGATCTTCACACCCTCACACCTGCAGATCTAGATCTTCACACCCTCACACCTGCAGATCTAGATCTTCACACCTTCACACCTGCAGATCTAGATCTTCACACCTTCACACCTGCAGATCTAGATCTTCACACCCTCACATCTGCAGATCTACATCATCACACCTTCACACCTGCAGATCTACATCATCACACCTTCACACCTGCAGATCTAGATCTTCACACCCTCACACCTGCAGATCTAGATCTTCACACCTTCACATCTGCAGATCTCCTCTCGCTCTTCTTCTATTCTCTCTTAAGGCGGGGGCGGTGCCGCCGGAGCGCCACGAAACGCAACCCTTTCGCACGAAATGGACGTTGGACGTCCAAAACCTAGGTAAAATTGCGATTTCGAAGCGTCCCCGGCAACCCTTTCGCACGAAATGGACGTTGGACGTCAAAAACTGAGGAAAAATTGCGACTTTGAGGTGTCCCGCGCAACCCTTTCGCACGAAATGGACGTTAGACGTCAAAAACTGAGGAAAAATTGCGACTTTGAAGCGTCCCGCGCAACCCTTTCGCACGAAATGGGCGTTGGACGTCAAAAACTGAGGAAAAATTGCGATTGTCATCCGTCGCGCGCAACCCTTTCGCACGAAATGGACGTTAGACGTCAAAAACTGAGGAAAAATTGCGACTTTGAGTTGTCAATCGCAACCCTTACACACGAAATGGACGTTGGACGTCAAAAACTGAGGAAAAATTGCGATTTTACTTGGTCAATCGCAACCCTTTCGCACGAAATGGACGTTGGACGTCAAAAACTGAGGAAAAATTCCAATTTTAAAGTGTCAATCGCAACGCTTTCGTCTGTGTAAAAGTGTCTGTGTGTAAAAGCCTCTGTGTGTAAAAGCGTCTGTGTGTAAAAGCGTCTGTGTTTCAAAGTGTCTGTGTAAGGGTCTGTGTGTAAAACCGTCTGTGTGTAAAAAAAGCGTCTGTGTGTAAAAGCGTCTGTGTGTAAAAGCCTGTGTGTAAAAAGCCTCTGTGTAAAAGCGTCTGAATGTGAAAGTTTTGTTTTTGTGTAAAATCTTCTGTGTGTAAAAGCTTCTGTGTGTAAAAGCGACTGTGTGTAAAGGAGTCTGTGTGTAAACGCTTCTGTGTGTGAAAGTGTTTGTGTGTAAAAGGGTGTGTGTAAAAGCGTCTGTGTGTAGAAGTGTCTGTGTAAAAGTGCCGTGTGTAAAAGCGTTTGTGTGTAAAAGCTTTTGTGTGTAAAAGTGTCTGTGTGTAAAAGCTTCTGTGTGTAAAATCGTCTGTGTGTAAAAGCGTCTGTGTGTAAAAGCGTCTGTGTGTAAAAGCGTCTGTGTAAAAGCCTCTGTGTGTAACAGCCTCTGTGTAAAAAGCCTCTGTGTAAAAGCGTCTGAATGTGAAAGTTTTGTTTTTGTGTAAAATCTTCTGTGTGTAAAAGCTTCTGTGTGTAAAAGCGTCTGTGTGTAAAGGAGTCTGTGTGTAAACGCTTCTGTGTGTAAAAGTGTTTGTGTGTAAAAGGGTCTGTGTGTAAAAGCGTCTGTGTGTAAAAGTGTCTGTGTGTAAAAGCTTCTGTGTGTAAAAGCGTTTGTGTGTAAAAGCTTTTGTGTGTGTAAAAGTGTCTGTGTAAAAGCGTCTGTGTGTAAAATCGTCTGTGTGTAAAAGCGTCTGTGTATAAAAGAGTCTGTGTGTAGCGTCTTTGTGCAAAAGCGTCTGTGTGTAAAAGTGTCTGTGTGTAAAAGCGTCTGTGTGTAAAAGCCTCTTTGTGTAAAAGTGTCTGTGTGTAAAAGTGTCTGTGTGTAAAAGTTTCCGTGTGTAAAAGCCTCTGTGTGTAAAAGTGTCTGTGTGTAAAAGTGTCTGTGTGTAAAAGCGTTTGTGTGTAAAATCGTCTGTGTGTAAGAGTGTCTGTGTGTAAAAGCGTCTGGGTGTAAAATCTTCTGTGTGTACAAGCTTCTGTGTGTACAAGCGTCTGTGTGTAAAGGAGTCTCTGTGTAAAGGCTTCTGTGTGTAAAAGCCTCTGTGTGTGAAAGTGTTTGTGTGTAAAAGCGTCTGTGTGTAAAAGCCTCTGTGCAAGCGTCCGTGTGTAAAAGCCTCTGTGTGCGTGTGTGTAAAAGAAAAGCGTGTGTGTGTGTGCGCGCATGTGTGTGTAAAAGCTTCTGTGGGTAAAAGTGTCTGTGTGTAAAAGTCTCTCGTCTGTGTGTAAAAGTGTCTGTGTGTAAAAGCTTCTGTGTGTAAAAGCGTCTGTGTGTAAAGGAGTATACAAAAGCTTCTGTGTAAGAGCGTCTGTGTGTAAAAGCTTCTGTGTGTAACAGATTCTTTGTGTAATAGCGTCTGTGTGTAAAGGAGTCTGTGTGTAAAAGTGTCTGTGTGTAAAAGCGTCTGTGTGTAAAAGCGTTTGTGTAAAAGTGTTTGTGTGTAAAAGTGTCTGTGTAAAAGTGTCTGTGTGCAAAAGCGTCTGTGTGTAAAAGCGTCTGTGTGTAAAAGCCTCTGTGTAATAGCCTCTGTGTGTGAAAGTGTGTGTGTGTGTAAGTGTGTGTGTGTGTAAAAGCGTCTGTGTGCAAAAAGCGTCTGTGTGTAAAAGCGTCTGTGTGTAAAAGCTTCTGTGTGTAAAAGTGTCTGTGTGTAAAAGCGTCTGTGTGTAAAAGGGTGTTTGTGTAAAAGTGTCTGTGTGTAAAAGTGTCTGTGTGTAAGAGTGTCTGTGTGTAAAAGCGTCTGTGTGTAAAAGCGTCTGTGTGTAAAAGCGCCTGTGTGTAAAAGCGTCTGTGTGTAAAAGCCTCTGTGTGTAAAAGCTTCTGTGTGTAAAAGCCTCTGTGTGTAAAGGAGTCTGTGTGTAAAAGTGTCTGTGTGTAAAAGCGTCTGTGTGTAAAAGCGTCTGTGTGTAAAAGCGTCTGTGTGTAAAAGCGTCTGTGTGTAAAAGCTTCTGTGTGTAAAAGCCTCTGTGTGTGAAAGTTTTTGTGTGTAAAAGCGTCTGTGTGTAAACGCTTCTGTGTGTGAAAGTGTCTGTGTGTAAAAGGGTCTGTGTGTAAAAGCGTCTGTGGGTAAAAGTGTCTGTGTGTAAAAGCGCCTGTGTGTAAAAGCGTCTGTGTGTAAAAGCCTCTGTGTGTAAAAGCGTCTGTGTGTAAAAGCGTTTGTGTGCGAAAGTGTGTGTGTGTGTGTGTAAAAGCATCTGTGTGTAAAAGCCTCTGTGTATGACACAGGTTATTTCATTTTATTATGGAAAATCCCACATAAATGGCCCAAAAAAGCTCGGTACCATGATGCTGTGTATGACACATGTTATTTCATTTTAATATGGGAAAATCCCACATAAATGGCCCAAAAAAGCTCGGTACCATGATGCTGTGTATGACACATGTTATTTCATTTTAATATGGGCAAATCCCACATAAATGGCCCAAAAAAGATCGGCACCATGATGCTGTAAATGACACATGTGACAATACTTCACTAGTGAAATGTCTGCAAACGTTTGCACAAAAAAACGTCCAATACCATAATGCAGTAAATGACACGTGTGATTTCATTTTATTCTGGGAACATCCCACAGAAACTATCAAAAAAGCTCGGTACCATGATGCCGTGTATGACACATGTTATTTCATTTTAATATGCAAAATCCCGCAGAAATGGCCCAAAAAAGCTCGGTACCATGATGCTGTGTATGACAAATGTTATTTTATTTTATTATGGAAAATCCCACATAAATGGCCCAAAAAAGATCGGTACCTTGATGCTGTATATGACATATATCACAATACTTCACTAGTGAAATGTCTGCAAACGTTTGCAACAGAGCTCGATGCCATCATGTGCTTGATGTCAAAAACAGAAGAGTTTGAGTTCAGGACTATAAAATGTCATACAGAGATACTCTTCAAAAGCTTCTGTGTGTAAAAGCATCTGTGTATGAAAGTGTGTGTGTGTGTATGTAAAAGCATCTGCGTGTAAAAGCGTTTGTGTGTAAAAGCGTCTGTGTGTAAAAGTCTCTGTGTGTAAAAGTCTCTGTGTGTAAATGCGTCTATGAAAGTGTTTGTGTGTAAAAGCATCTGCGTGTAAAAGCGCCTGTGTGTAAAAGCGT